AAAGGTGCTTTGTTGACCCTCTTCCATCCCAAACATAATGAATCTCCTCCAAACCACATTAGTTATTCCTGTAACAAAGGGATTGCTATCAGTCTGCTAGTGGGCAAATTCGTGTCCACCAAAAACTCCAGGATTGTGATCGATACAGACCAAGCCTTGGTCTCGTGCACAAATTAAATATAGAGGAAAAAAAAAACTTTATAGGGTCCTTATAACAGTCCAAGTAAATTAGCAGTGCTGTCGCCATAGGAACCTGTAGCATTGCGACTGCACGCTATTGAATAGAATGGCGCCTAACATTCTGCGGGCGACACGGGCGACTGAATATTTTCAGAAATCGGTCTGGTATGAATCGACATAATGCTATAGGGCTTCCAGAGTTGGACTTCCAGATGTCGATAGTATTGATATAAATATTGTTACTGTTCTATTAATAAAGTGCTCACACATTCCATAGTGCAGTACAATAGGGTGCCCCCCAATAGAATCCACATTTAAGACTTTCCTTCTTATCATTACTTTCTTTTTTTTCTATGTCTCCTTCGTGTTGCAGTGTGAATTATTAACTCAGAATTAAGACGCCGATTTACAGATAATTATACACATTCTAGAGAGGCCTGCACCTAGAAGGGTTAATTATTTCCCCCTTTAGTACTAATACTGTAGCAATAATAATAATGAGATTTTATATATATAATGTTATATTATCTCACTGCTTTCTTTAATTATATATTTGGGTCTCACTATTCTAAAACCCGGAAGTAGAATATTATCACCAGCTACTACTGTCTATCTGTCATAAATAGAACATGTTGTTTTTTTCCTGAGACACGTGGAACTCGATGCTTCTTCTAGGGGCACAGAAAATAAATATACAATGGAGAAAATGCAATTATTTTGGACATACATTATATACACAAAGAAAGAAAATCTAAAAGGAATACCATCTATCTATCTATCCATCCATTTATGTATCTATCTATTTATCCATCTATCTATCCATCCATTTATCTCAATCTATCTATCTATCCATCTATATATCTCTATCTGTCTATCTATCCATCTGTCTGTCTGTCTCTATCTATCCATCTATCAATCTATCAATCTATCCATCTATCTGTCCATCCATTTATCTCTATCTATCCATCCATCCTATCTATCTATCTATCTATCTATCTATCTATCTATCCATCTATTTATCTCTATCTGGATATCTATCTATCTATCTATCCATCAATCAATCTATCCATCTATCTGTCCATCCATTTATATCTATCTGTCTATCTATCTATCTATCTATCTATCTATCTATCTATCTATCTATCTATCTATCCATCCATCCATTTATCTCTATCTGTCTATCTATCGTCTGTCTGTCTATCTATCTATCTATCTATCGTCTGTCTGTCTGTCTATCTATCTATCTATCTATCGACTGTCTGTCTGTCTGTCTGTCTATCTATCAATCGTCTGTCTGTCTGTCTCTCTATCTGTCTGTCTGTCTGTCTCTATCGATCGATCTATCCATCTATCTATCTATCTATCTATCTAACTATCCATCAATTTATCTCTATCTATCTATCTATCTATCTATCTATCTGTCTGTCTATCTATCTATCTATCTATCTATCTATCTATCTATCTATCTATCTATCTATCTATCTATCTATCTGTCTGTCTGTATGTCTGTCTGCCTGTCTGTCTCTCTCTCTCTCTCTCTCTCTCTCTCTCTCTATCGATCGATCTATCTATCCATCCATCTATCTATATCTATCTGTCTGTCTATATGTGAGATTGATTTATAAACGTTTATTAGCGATAATAATGTCTGTGTACATATATACCGTATAAATAAAATATTTTTGGGTGGTTAAAAGTCTATATATAGTAATAATATATAGTATATATAGTATTAATATAAATATATGTAGTAATAATATATAGTATATATAGTCATAATATATAGTAATTATAAATAGTATATATAGCAATAATAAATAGTATATAGAGAGGTAATAAATAGTGTATATATAGTAATAATATAGGGTAATAATATATAGTATGTCTAGTATTAATATCTAGTATATATAGAGGTAATATATAGTATATCTATTAATAAAAAAAATAGTATATATAGAGGTAATATATAGTATATATAGTAATAATAAATAGTATATATAGAGATGTAATATATAGTATATATAGTAATAATAAATAGTATCTAGAGATGATATTTGTAACATCCAATCAGCTGTCAATGTGACTGAATTCAGAGAACTCGGGATGAAAACGCGTAGAGTTACTCCAAAAAAGTGCTAAATGACAATATGTTATTTTATTATTAATATTATCAAATAGCCTTCAGCTCAGAAACCAAATATAGATGATTTTGTCTCAGGGTAAATGTGTTTTAGTCCTTGTTTATGCACTAAATAAATGTCTGTCGCTGTAACTAACAGAGAGACACAGACAGACAGACAGACAGACAGACAGACTGTTTTAATAAAACCCAATGAATGTATAATATCAGCTTATACGTTTCTACACAATAAGTATAATTCGCAGCGATGACTTGAATGAATGTTAAATATGCCTATGCACTAAACACCGATATTGTAGTGCATTGAAACCTACCTGGAATGTAAAATTCAGCTTAAAACCGCCCAGCTGTGACTGAGTCTGAGATGGATAAGTTTCCCAAATCAGATATTTTACACAAAGCTGGCATTTCACTATTTAACTACAATTTCCTACAATTCGGAGTTTAGTAAATACTCCCCTCCTTCCCCCATAGTATACTTGCTGTGGTCGAGGGTTTGCTGGTAGTCTGGAGGTCAATGGAAAAGCTGAACGTTTTGCAATTTATTCTGTAGAATTATCGCTAAATAAATTCGGTGACACATTGTTTGTAAAAACCTTGCATTTCTAGGTAAGTGTTACTTTATCACTATCACTCTGGATTAGAGTAAAGAGACCCAGTCTGTGACTGGCCAACACATCACTTCATTTAATCCACCCCAAATAACTCAATAAACCAGTAACCCCATCTCCTGGCCGTGTACACAGTGTATCCATTGGTGTATATTAAATGGTCTTTAAAATGTCCTCTCCCAGCTACAAAAAGCACAGATTGCTGTAAACTTAAAAATTCTCCCTCCGCTCCATAAACTCACCTTCTATTCGCCCTAATACACTATGCGGGGATACCATAACCACTGTGCTGCTGACTGCTACACTGTGTTTATTTCATGGTTTTCCTATAGTTCTAATTATCACATGTTGTCGGCTATCGCTTCCTCGTCAATTCAAAGCCGAGATTTCTCCAATGTACCCCAGTTAATTTAATTTTATTCTCGCCTGTAAAAATAAAAATGTGGAATCCAGCCAGCTTTGTGTATAGATTATATTATACTATATAATAAAAAGATTAAAGTCAGCGTGCTCTGTTGTGCAATTTGTTTATATCACAGCATGTAATAACAGGTGAAATCCTCTGTGTATAACGTATCTGCTATACTATAAAATAGCAAGGTGAAATCTAGCATGCTTTAGACACAATTAATTAATATTATATATTATTTAATAACAAGGTGAAATAGTGCACGCCATGTGCTTAATTTATTTATAATATATTATTTAATAACAAGGCAAAATACAAAATACACTGTCTATAATTTGTGTATATCTTATTATTTAATAACAAGGTGAGATGCATCATGCCCCATGTAATATTTATTATTAACACATTGTTTACTAATAAGGTGATATAAAGCATGTACTGTGTATAATTTATATATATCGTATTATTTAATAAGGGGAATTACAGCATGCACTGTGTATAATTTATATAAATCATATTATTTTATAGCGAGGTGAAATACAGCATGCATTGGGTAATCCTTTCTTTATATATCATATTATTTAATAAGGGGAAATACGGCATGCTCTATGTCTAACGTATGTATATTATATTCTTTAATAACAAGGTAACATCCAGCGTGATCATTGCATAATATGTAAATATTATACCAGTTATAAAATGCTGTGTTATTGCATACTCTGAGTATATATTACATACGTTGTCATTTAAATATAGCATGCTTTCTCTACCATATATATATCCACGAAGGCTTTGTAAAATCAAATAACAAATAATAAATAATTCTTGAAAACTTTTATTCATTTATTTTTTATTTTATATCTCATTAACATTTTGGGGAAATTGCAAATACGAATGTGCTTGTTGTGGTCAAACAGTTTATGAAGCAGATATCTCCAGATTCTTCGCTGTTTCCACATTTGTGATAAAATATATTTTCCAGGTGCAAAACAAACCATTCACCGTGCTTTCAGCCGCGCTGAGTATAGGGATATCCAGAGCCTCTTTATGATAAACATGCTCCCTTTTCCTCTGCTGGTTTTAGGCCTGTAGAAACTACTCTCAGCATTTAATGATGTATCGCAATTTAGATATAATTAGCGAATATAAATGTCGACAATTCACCATTATTTATTTTTAATTTTATTTTGCGATTTCCTGATTTATTTATTTTTTTATAAATTCATATAATCATTTTCTGTCATTACATTGCTGATTATAATTTTTTTTAATTTTTTTTTTTTTTTTTTTATTTAACTTTTCTCATCCATTTGTACTATTGTGAAAAAGTTCCAAAGAGGCACAAAGTGTCTATCTATATGATCATTCCAGATATCAATTTAAATTCTGTATTTTTTTTTATTTTTATTTTTTTTGCTACACCCTTTAAAACATTTCACAATTGTTGTAGAACGACTGCCGCAGTGAGTATCCCAAAACAATTAGGGGTGACCCTAAGTAAGGTGTAGAATGAGGGTTCACATAAAGACTTTTACCAAACAAACCAACATAATCTTTGGGGAAAATCATTCCTGCTTGATGCAAACATCCTGTTTTGAGGGAAATGAGCACTGAACATCTACTGCAAGTGTGTTAATCAAAGTGGAAAGGCAGTGGGAGACTGGGGGAGGGGAGAGGGGATTAACCCTTCTCTTGCCTGAGCCTATCCCCAATCAAAGGGGTCCCTCTTATTGAATTCCTTCATTTTCCTCCTTGAAGATCAATATTGATCGTGAAAGTCCATTTTAAAAGGAGGGAGGTCTTGAAAAAAGCATTTCCTTATTAGTTCAGGCTGTGCTTGTTATATCTGCCGGATTTGATCGATTCCAAATCAACAGCACAATGATTTCTGCAAAGATAAATTCAAAGTTCTTTGTGGGAAGGGGAAAAAAGAACGAAAGCTGAGATGATCAATAGTCAGCAAAGAGTTAAACGTAATCACAAGGCCAGTATTTTCTGAACTCGATTATCTAATCACCCTTACTTTAGATATATGTGGTGGAAAAGCAGTTATTTAAAAAAAAAAAAAAAAGTGTGTGTGTGTGTGTTTTCTCAAACAATAATATGTATAATCCCAGAGGTAAAAATCAACAACAATAACAACAGACTTAGTTTTGATATTTCACTTTAACCCCCCTGTGTAACTTGTGTCATTCTGTATTTATATATTGCATTTATTTTACTGGACATTTTGTCTGGCTTGATTACACTATGTGTGTATTTATTACACGTATAAGTGAAGAATCAATTTGTTTCAACATGTATGAAGTGAAACAATGCATGTTTTAGCTGAACACGTGGTATTCTGATAAAGAGAACTTATTTGAATTTATTGTTACTGTGTTGTTAGCTGTTATATTATTGTTATTATTTTGTTTACACACTTGTACAAAGTTACCAGGTTCAACAATGTTGCTCTAAGATTAAAAATATGTAGATTGGAACCTGATACTTTTTCCCCCAACAGGATAGAGAGATAAATATTTGATCAATATATATTTAGGCCTTTTTAAAAAAAAAAATTTTCTAGTGATATCTGTTATTGCTGGCGATAGTTCTTTATCTCCCTGTGCAATGTTCCTGACAAACAGCCTTTGATATCACTTCTGAAATCCATTCAGTAGATTCACACAGACAGGGCAAGTATAAGCAATGGCCCAAACCAACCTTTTCTTATTTACTGTGTCTCTTGTGTGATTAGCATCTTCTAAGATTGGCTTTTTTTTTTTCAATACATTTGCCCTCTTTAGTCCTTCTATTTACCAGAATGGAGTGCTCTGTACAATATTTCCCTAACTATCACTGCACATCAGAAATCACAGATGTATTTTTCTTTAACACACTGATATTTTAGTACAGACTTGTGAGATATATTATTTACCACAACAACATGGCATGGACCTACTGCAAACAAACTATAATTTGTGATATGGGTACCTAGTGATAATTCCCACTGAAAGGGGTTTTGAGGCTTATGGGGTGCACATAGAAGGGAGTTTGCTATTCTATCTGACAACATGACTATTTTCACTTCTCTAAGGGTGTATCCCACTCATATAAGTCAGGAAAGGTCAACCCTTAACACATATGTATTCCTAGTTATCCTGCCTTTGCAGAGTTGCCCATATAAAGGTCTTTGATTACAGCACAGTCCAAGTTAGACCATAAAGCTATTCACCCCTGACAATAAGGTTTTTCCCAACAATTAACAAAAAACAACATAATAAACCCATTTACAAAGGCATCCCTATTTACTATAAATTAGACAGTCTTTAAGACATCAGTGTGCAATTTCACACACTTTACAACTACACTTTAAACACTGTCCCACAAGCTTGCTGTTAGTGTAAATTCAAATTTCAGCAGAAAAGTGGCAAAAATACTATTCTAAAGAATAATTAAAAAAAAAAGATATGAAAATCTTTCTGCCTGCTAAAACTCTTTTTTTATGTTACACCCATAGTGTTTTTTATTTACACCACTGGCCTGTATTTGTGACAGCAATTAAAAAAAAAGCAAAATAAATTGAAAATATCTCAAACCATAACATGTCATACTTGTATTTCCATATTCTAGAGAGGGATACATATATATGTGTCCCTTTATCTATATACTGTATTATCCATGTGATATACCAATATCTATATATATAAGGAAACAATAAAAATTGGAGTAGGGTAACACCTCTCCTTTGTTTTCCATGTACTGTCCCTATATCACATGCTCCCACACATGTATCTATCTACTTCACAAATTAAGCATTACAAAGACAAATGTACCATGTACTGCACACAGTGTGCATGATCTCACACAATTCTCTAACATTCTCATCATTTGGGCAAGATCTGGTCAGCAGGTATATATAGCATATATAATATTTTATATAGCATCCAGAGAGTCATGGTTTATTTTTTTGTGCATTACTAAAATTAACCATTGCAGAGTCAACAGGCAATAACATCATCTTTCATATATATATATTTTACCCCATACAATCCTGTGTCTTGCAGAGGCCCTAATCATATTGCTGACAGCAAAATAATTTTCTATAACACACAGGATATTAGGCATTGTTACTGGATATTCCCAGCAAAGCCCGTGTTGTTTTTCTTTTGTAAGGCAGGAGCTGCTGGTGGGGAAGGGGGATGTAGCAAGGGATGGGATCTCTGCCCTGCAGCGGACATACTCCCTGTCATTCCCCAAGCCCTTTTGTGAGGCTCCATGCAAAATATCAAGGGCCTTTTAAACCTAGTGCTTGTGAGGCCTCCTGAAATTTGAAAAGGAACGAGGCAGAGAGGCCTACCCCAAGGAAAATAAAATGCTCACTTCAGAAAAAAAGAACACACGTTTGTTGCAGGAGACTCACTAAACATATCTCCATCCACGCAGAATTGAAATCACCCTTCCACGTTAAACCACAAGAATTAAACCTTAAAATTAACTTAAACCTTATTTGATACAATCAGAAAATGTTCCTTCTGCTAACACAGACAGTGTCCCCAAAGTGCACAGCACACAGCTATTTCCATACACTAAATGTTATAAAAACGATCCTATTTTAAGATCATTTCCTGACACTATATTTTAACTTTTACTGTAGTGTCATGGGTAGATGTGAAGAGAGATAGTTGCACATCCTGTAGCCTTTGTATATTTTAAGCCTATGTCTCTCTGGATATATGTTTTCCACAAATACAAGGAACAGATCAAAACACAATACTTTGGACAAATAAAAACCAACAAACCACCAGGCACAGTTTATACCTCCAGCTTCTAACCTTGTGTGGTTTTAGTGAGAGGAGAGGGGTGCAAATTGGATCTTTTTTAAAACAGCAGTTACAAAGCAGGGTCTGAGAATCACAAAGCTAACCAGAGCTGCCATTCGCCCTGGACACATAGTATTGTTACACCCCATCCCCAATCTTTAAATGTACCATTATTCCCATTATAATCATCAGTAGCACAGAATGAACCATTAATGCCTATCAGACTAACCTTTAGAAGCAGCAATTATCTTATGGTCTATGTGTGTGGACTGAAACCAGAACATTATATATGATCGAATCTACCTATTCATATATGTATATATACTGTATACTGTTTTATTGTGTATGTGTTTTAAACTGACTTTATGCAAACACAAGCATGTTCTAAATATGGTACAAGTATGGTGTGCATTTATATATATACACACACACAAACACATGGTGTACATGTATATTATTCGCCAGTGTATAGACACATATACACAATGCATAATACTGTAAGAATAAAGACCAAGTTATTGCAATAAACAAGCTTTTAAAATTTGATAAATGAATATATATATATATATATAAATATACACACATGTAAATATATATAGATATACACACACCATACCTATACCATATAGTTTGTATTTGCACAAAGCTAGGTCTCATATATATAGTTGGCCACTGTCTTGTAGTATTGGGTGTTTATTGGTTAATTTTGTTATTTATTATACTGCATACACACACATTCTGTTTCAATACATAACTCAGAATGTAATATTGGAATTACCCACTGTCCTCCTAAATATCTCCAATTGTGCACATGAAGCATATCAGAATGTCATATAAATTAGTATTTCACGCTAGCATTGCACAATAAACGTAAATTAGCACAACAAAAGGGGAAATAGTTGCAGTTGGGGAAGGACAGAGAGAGTGGATCTAGGAAGTTACATTTGGGCATTTTTTCTTAAAATCTACTTGCAGATCTAAAGCTGTAATTGTTATTCCCCCCGGTTTGTCGTTGTGATTAGGACAAATAATTTTTTGCCTCACTCCTGTGAAATTCTTGTTGACAAAACAGAGCAAGTTCTTCAGCTGAGACATTTGTTTATATGTGAATAGAGTTCTGTGCAAGGACAGTATAGAGAGGGGGGAAGCATTGCACACAAGGGTTGTTCTTTTTCCTGTATTTAGAAACTGAAACTATTAGCTACTTGCTGTGTGTGTGTCACTGTGTATTACCATATTGCACACATCGACGTATATTACATTTTATTCACCCCTCCCCCCCCCCAACAGCTTTAGATTTCACCACTAAATATAAATGTTACAATTGTGGAACTTTAAACAGATTTTCCCTACATACAGGCCCTTAGTTTTAGGAATCAGATATGTACCTTTATTTACAATCATTGTGCACTTTTATTTTAAAATTTCTTAATAAATATATAGCAATCAGATACATGATGATATATATCTGATTTCCAAAAATTACAAACAACATCAATATACAATAAATAAATTGCATGTCTTGTTTGTTTGTTTGTTTGTCTGTAGTATTCTGGAGATTTGCTGCAATTTACTTTTTTACAGTAATAACATATACATTCTACAAGCAATCCATTAGCTGAAGCTCCTGTAGCAAGAGGCATTCATAATAGCAATAAGTTATTGTGTACTGAGGTAGGAGACACGTGTTAGTGAAAGATTATACCAGTTAATATCTGTCCTAAAATATTTGGAGACAAAGGAAAAAAAAAAAAAAACTATGAGAAGGAAGTGTTTTGAATCAGTCTGGTAGATGGTGGCAATCACACACATTAGAAGCATTTAGAATCCCATATTGTCATTTAGAATGTTTTCAATCCAAAGAACTATTAAAGTATCGATATTGCCTTGTGTGTATAAAAGCTAAAATAAAATAATAATACGTCCATGTTATTTAAAGAGATAGACTGATCTTTCGTGCATATACGCCATATTCACAATGAGGCCTGCTTAGAAAACGTGTCGAAATTAAACCCTGTTTTTTTTTATTTCTTTTTACTTTATTTACATATGCATAAATATATTTAGAATTAAAAAAAAACATAGCACAAATGTTTTTGTTGTTGTTTTTTGTTTTAAAGGTAAAGTTTGGCAAACAGAACCCCTTCCAGATAAAACACTGCTCGTTTAATTATTAAACACAGTTTTTTTTTTTAATGCAAAATGTTTACAGAGCACCTATTTAAAACCTGGACCCCCCTTATCCCCCTCCCCCACAAAACCATCCCTATATATATATATAGATCAGAACTACTGCTGGAATAATTCAGATTGAATTTAAATCTGTTTCATTTTAAAACAGTGTTTTGTTTTTCTCTCTGAAACATGCTTTTCAACAGTGCAATTTCCCATACGATGGCATTTTACTGTTTTCACCACAACATTAGATAACAAAGCAAAAATGTATTTAACCAAAAAAAAGATCTCAACAATTCTGAATATATCCTATTAGTTTTAAGTGCAAAGGCAGATTCTGATTGTCACGTGCAGTAAAACTCCTGTGTCTGTCAGGGTTATTGGAATATTCAAGTTTAGAATAAAATATAGGCAGTTCATCACAACTTAAATGACTGGTGTGTCAAAGCCCTATACACCATGATCTAAAAAGTATTCACACTTTTATTTTTCACAGTTAACCTCCCCTGCACACATTAAATTGCCTGTGTCTGCTGTTTTAGCTACGTGTGTATTGTCTTGTTTGTTTGTCTGTGTTTGTGATCTAGAAATGATAAACTATACTGAAACTATATAAGGCATTTAACAAGAATACAATGACATTTTTGTCTTTTTTTCCCCCCAATTGTGTTTTGTTCAAATCCAACCCAATACCCTTCCAGTCCATAAGAACAAAAGGTTTTAAGTGCAACTGCTCATTGAAAAAAAAGCAATATATATATATATATATATATATATATGTACACCTTTTCAAGCTAATTCTAAAAAAAAAACTGCCACAGATTTTTAAAGTGAAACACACTGTGCAATCAATTCACAGTCAGACTTCCACATTTTCAGATGTAGTGCAGAAAATGCAATGGCTCATAATATTTTTTTCTTTTATTATTAAGAAATGCTTTTTTTTTTTTTTTTTTTGACATTTTGTATGTTGTTGATGAATTGAGGTACCGGTGCATTGTAAGAAATCTAACAGTAAAATTGTTTCAATGTATCCATTCAAGATCAGGGCTAATGTGTGTTTTAGCTTGAAGTAGTCTGTAGATTGTAACATAAACAAGCTCCATATTGCAAAATAATGTATCCAACTTTCATTCTTCAGAGACAGCGATTCCATGTAATAATAATTATAATTATAATAAAATTTAAAAAAAAAAAACACAGGCTGATACAACCAATTGTTTTAAAGAGAAATTGAAAAGAAAAACAAAAAAAAATCAAGATACAATTAAAAAAAAAATTATAATAATTCCCAACTGTGTTATGAGTGAAATGTCCTGAATTTGTGGCTAGGGGGGAGCGGTATAGCAGAACCCCCCAGCTGCCATTTCCAAATAGGATGTGCCTTGTTTGCACTGCTATATTCCTTTGTGCTTTTTAAGGAATAGGCTGGAAGCAAGTCCCCGTCTTTGCCAATAATTAGTGACGGTGGACAAGGGAAATTTGCCATGAGATTAAAGGGTCTCTTTACTGCAGATGCTACATTGTTGGCTAACCTTTTACGTCGATTGGTCACTGTAAAGCCATCCAGTGTTCCTTCACAAAAGTCACTCTTCCCTGGGGGTCGTGGACTCCTTGCAGATTTCAGATTTGGTTTACTGGGGGTGGTCTGTAAAAGGGGTCTTTTCCCTAGCACCAGAGTTCTGTAATTTTTTCTAACTTTAGCACCAAATTTATAGTCTCCATCCTCAGGTTTTGGGGTACCTAAAGTGCACGGGGGGACCTGACTTGGGGCCACCACCAGGTTTTGAGAAGTGGTTTGAGGGTCAGTGCACTCAGGGTCCTCCTTAGCTTGCAATAAACTCTCCTCAGTCACATCACTATCAAGCTCGTCCTTTGCAACATTGCACTCATAATTTAGCTTATGCTGAGCAGTTTCGTATTCTTCATTATTGTCTTCTATTTTAATTTTTACGTTGTGCAGAAAGGATAAATCAGTGCATGGGTCTCCAGTCCCCCCCTGATGTGTCTGGGCAGAGCCCTCAGGGGTCTCTTCTGCAGGGGCACATAGTCTGGAGGCTTTGCCTTGGGTGTCAGAGGTGGCACTCACACAGTTTGGGGGTCTGTGGGCTGTAATACTCCTGTCCACACACGGTGTGAGGCTTGATTGAAGGAACTGCTTCCCCTCTCTGTGTAGTCTTTGTTGTGGCAATGCATTGTTTTTCTTTGGGCTAGGTGTGGAGCCCCCCTCTGCAGTAACACAGTTAATTGTTAGGTCAGTCCTCTTTGCATTAGAAGAAAACCCAGAGAGTGGGAATGGGATGACACAAGCCCCATCACATCTGATGTGGGGCCCAGGGTTGGCAGTGCCAGGGGTAGAACACACGCTGCCCCAGGATTGCTGAGGATTCCAATCATCCTGCCTCTCACACTTAAAGTCACAGTTTGATACTTTGTTGCTGGGGCTGGAGAGCTGATGGTACAGGAGGTTAGTCTGACCCAGAACAGGAGCTGCTGGGCTGGAGAAACTGGTTCTGCGGAAACGGATACTTTGTACCGAGACCTGGCTGGTCACAGAGCTGGAGTCTGACTCGGAGGAGCTGTCTTCCTCTGAGCTGATCTCGCTGGACTCAGACACACTGCCCTCCTCCTCTTCCTCCTCATCTGAAGACACAGAGTTGCTGCTGCTGGACAGGCTGGAGCCAAAATCCGAATCGTTGGCAGCGTGTTCCGAGTAGGAGCTGGATTCTGAGTCGCTGCTGTAGCTCTCCTGCAAGGTGGCCAAATGCTGGGGGCAGAAGCCATTGACCAGGTGGACCCTCTCCAGACAGATGGAGCTGCACTTGGATCTATAGGTTTTGGGGATGAAGAGGAGCCTCCGGCTGCTGCTGTAAGAGTCCTTTTCGGCAGAAGATCGTTTCCTTTTGTACCTGTATGTCACCCCAGCATGGCAGCCGAGTTTGGGCTGGGCAATGGCTGGCTGGCAGTAATAGGCTGCAGGGTGCTTGGTGCACAGAACCTCCCTGATGTAGGGCAGGCTGGAGTGAAAAGCCGCAACGCAGTCTCCAGGGAGGGGGGCAGTTTCATAGTTTAGGGGGCTTTTGCAAGGCGACCTCTGTATTTCTGGGTAGCTCTGACCAGTGTATTTACTAAAAAAATGAGGTAGATGAGCTGCCGGTAGCAAGTCTGAGTCTCTGGGAGTAAAGGCTTTCCTGTTTATTGGCTGGGCAGATTCATTCAATTCCAGCCAAAGTTTGTCCTCTTTCCAATATCTGGAGTAAGGGCCGGGGGATGGGAGCTCCTCTTGCAGATCTTTTGTTGCCAGGGCCCTGCTAAGCCTCCTCCTTTTTGTTTTAAGGACTCTCTCTGTCTTGCAGGAGGTGTATAGGGCTTCCACGTCCTCTCTGGAGATCAGAGTGCATTTGGCTGCATGAAAAGCTATGGAGTTGATGGATTTGAGTTTTCTCAGCTCCTCCAAGTCACACTGGTGCTTTTTCACTTTTAAATAATCCATGCGCTTGTGCACTGTAGTCCTTGGGATATTCTTCAGGAGATCTGTGAACACCTGCGACAGGGCAAACATCTGCTTGCCCCTAATAACCAGGTACCCCAGTCTCACCCCATCCACCAGCTCATATCCAGATTCCAGATCCCCCATGGCTTGGATCACTTGAGCCCCAGCATTTGCAGGCAAAGAAAATGGTTAGAAAATCCAACGGCTGGTGTTGCAGACTCAAGGCATCCTGCTAAAAAAATAACAACAAAGGCTGTTATACCCCTTAACCTGTGAGAGGAGGAATGCATAGATACACACATGTAGGGTTTATCTGTGCATGCACACATGCACACACAGCAGCTAGCTAGGCAGAGCTACATGCAGGCAGTGTGTCAGAGCTATTCTCCATTGTTGAAGAGGCTGAAGGCAGAGCCTGGGAGCTCAATACCTGTGTCCCTTTAAAGCCTCCTGCTCCATTCTATCTGTAGAATATTGGAATGTGAGCTGGGGAGTCACCAGCCAGCTGCACTCACTCCTGCATTAGCTCCAGTTAAAATGACACAGTATAGTGAGTCCGTCCGGAGACACCTTCATCAATTAATTCCCCCTAAAGCCAGCGCTGATTGGACACTCCTGACAGGTGATGCAATAAAAATTGATATTCCACCCCTTCTCACCCCAAAAAAAAAAAATCTCCGGCTAATTAGCATACTCTTATAATGCCACCTCCCCTTTTAAAGTAAATAATGCATTTACTATATAAATCTTTCCATCAAACTAGCCAACCTTAAATACACCCACATGCACTTATATGGATATATATATATATATATATATCATTTTTTAACGTGTCTGTGAGTTGCTAAAGGTAGCAGTCAAAGTATTTTATGAAAATTCCACTATATTGTAATATCTCTAGCTATAGTGCACAAAGACGCGCGTGTTAGTATGTGTGTGTGTGTGTGTCAGTGGAATATACATATATGTGTGTGTGTGTGTGTGTGTGTGTATATATATATATATCCTACTATGTATCAAATAAATATTTTTATGGAGTATATATATAAAAACACACATATTATACTGTCTGTGTCTGCTGCTTTATATATATACTGTCTATGTCTCCTGTTTTATATATATATATATATATATATTATACTGTCTGTGTCTGCTGTTTTATGTAAAGAGTATACTGTATGTGTCTGCTGTTTTATATATATATATATTATACTGTATGTGTCTGTTGTTTTATATTTATATATATATTATACTGTATGTGTCTGCTGTTTTTTTATATATAATACTGTGTGTCTGCTGTTTTATATATTATACTGTCTGTGTCTGCTGTTTTATATATATATATATATATATCATACAAAGCATTTAAGGTCACCATAGGAAGCAGTATTTCAGTATTTGAGCTATTTCTGGCTTTCTCTAAGTTCCACATTCTCGTGTAATTCGACGTAAAGAGACTGAGGACTTACTATTTCCTTTTCTTGATTTTCATCTTTTTTTCCCCCAAATAGGTTATTATTTTCTGCCTCACAGGTTATCAAAAGGTTGTGTATCTTCGCAGATCAACCCCCCTCAATAGCAGGAGATATTCCTAACATCTTGCACAAGAGAGGACAAGGGGGGGGGGAGAAAAAAATTGAGACAGAATATGCAGAATTCTGAAAATGAAACAAAGTGCAAAAAAAAAAAAAATGTAAAAATAAAAAAAACACCAACAGAAAGAAAGAAGCTACACCGTGCTCCGGCCCCCACTAGCCCAGTCTCCTTGCCATGGCTTCAGACACCAGGGATCCCAGGGAGCCGGCACTGGTCTCAGCTCCAACAGGGAACACAAATGGAATTGATCAAAGGTGCTTCTAGAGTTAGTCAAAGCTGTTCTGAGTCCTGCCTGCAACAGTCTTAAAGATCTTGTCCCCTTCATCTATTCAGCTTGCACTTCCCACTTTTTCATTTGCCCCAAACACTCTGACGTTAACCCTTTTATAGCCACAGAAACGCAAGAAAAGATATTGTTCTCCAACGCGTTGCTGCCTATTGTGCTTTGTCAAAAAAGAGGGGGGCGATGACACTTCGAAAAATATATAGTCTTTTTTTTCCTTTTCCCTCTGAGTAATTAATTAACTAACCAAGAATGCAAGACCTGAAAGAGTCACAGGACACCCTAAAACATTTAGTATTTTTTTTTTTTTTTTACAAAATAATAAATGTGCTTATTAGCAAAAAATAAAATAATAATATTTGTATATACATTAGAATTCTAAAATTACAATGAAAGATTCTCGTCTACATAGCTGATCGCCACAAAAAAAAAAAATGCTCTGTAACCCTTTGTGATATCTAAAATCTTCACTAGACGATGGAGAAAATGTATTTACAATGTACAAAATATAAATAATATATATATATATATATATATATATATATATATATATATATATATATATATCCCCTCACATTATTTGCATTAATTTGTCCTAAATTAGAAGGCTGTTTTTTATTTTATTTTTTTCGTGTGTAATTAATGGTCATATGGTAAAGTCCTTTTCATTCAGACATCTCCAGACATTTTAAATAGATTGGTAATTTTAATGAGTGCATCAGACATAAGGACTTGCAGCCTAGCCCTCTCTTCTTAGCTGCAAAGACAGACTTTCTCCTCTATCTCAGTGTGCAGACCCAGGGTTCACATTCTCTTTAAAGGACAGATATACCTTTTTCCAAGACCCAAGAAATCATATAGCTCAACACAACACAAGCTGTTTTGTTTTTTTACATTGAGATTAAATCGTATCCCTGAACATATGTCGTGATATTCAAAGCCACAGACTTAAATAGGAACAGTTCAACAATTCTTCATAGTTATTGCAAGCCCACTGTACAGAGCCCCTCCTATCACCTATTCTGTATATACATTGATCTGGAGCATGCAATGAATTACTGCAGGATTTAATATCGTGCCCTAGCTTAATCTAAAAGACATTTTTTTGCCATGTTTTAGCTCCACAAAGGAAGAATCCATATATAGTTCTATTTTTTTTTTTTAAATGTGGAAAAATGTAAATAAAATAAAGAAATTCTTTGAAATAATGCAGATCGTAAAAAGATTACACAAAGTGTAGTCTATATATTGTTGCTTAAAGCTGTACGTGTGATTTCATTTGCACGTGTTCAGTTTAACGTTTTTTTCCTCTGTAGTGGAAAAGCAGAAAAGCAGTTATTTAAAAAGTGTGTGTGTGTGTGTGTGTGTGTGTGTGTGTGTGTGTGTGTGTGTGTGTGTGTGTGTGTGTGTGTGTGTGTGTGTGTGTGTGTGTGTGTGTGTGTGTGTGTGTGTGTGTGTGTGTGTGTGTGTGTGTGTGTGTGTGTGTTTGTTTTGTATTAAACATGGACGGTGTGGCCTGCTTCCACTTTCCTTGCTAATTTTGGGGGGATTTATATATATGAGGGAGCGAAGCACATTAAACATGGTACAGTCTACAGATCCTTCCATCACTTTTAAAATAATTAGTTATTTCATTAGGGCAGACAGATTGAGACCTTGGGCCACTAATTTTCTCTCGCTTTTTGAAGTCTATTTATTTATTTTTTAAATATGCTACAAGTTTGCATTATTTTAAAGGTCTTTAGCGTCACAGGTTAAACATTCTTTAATCCCATAGCTGTACATCGTGGTTCTTTTTTATTCATATCGGGCTAGAAGATTTAGTCCGGGCAATAGCTCGCTTTCCCTTTCTAGGGTCTTCTCCATAGCACATTGGGGGTCTTGGCCAATAAAAAAAAAACTGACAAGGGCCCCTGATCCTGAACACATGAAAGGCTGTAACTTCAAGATAGATTTGCATCTAGACAAGGGATTTCGATCAATAGTTAAAGACATTTATGGTGCAGATTATTAATGCGGATTGTAGACACCACTGCTATCAGCAGGAACATTCCAAATGAAGAAGATTTTATTTATTTTTAAAATAATGATAGAAATTATGCAATTTCGTCCTTTTGCTATGAATTAGTAATCTCACCTCCAGATGTAAATTCATACCTTCCCTTTATTGTTATCAATTTCAAATTTGACAGCCAAAAAAAAAAAGAAAAAAACAACAGATTTTAAAATATAACTTAGTTACTTAATTTAATAAAAAGTTTATTGACTATGGAGATAAAATACTTATTTATGGGAGAGATAACAACTATTAGTACACAATTCAGTAAATCCATGAATTTAAAATAGCTACATGGGGCAAAAAAGCAGAAATGTTATAAATATAATAAAAAAAAAAAATGTTTTGTTGTAAAGAGTGTTTTTGTTGACGAAGCGTGACAGCAACATTCTATCAGTTGTTTATAAACAACACGCTAACGTTCTGATCATTCCCACGAAGATATAGACAAGAAATGTGTCGCTTTGCTGTTTGGAGAAGTCTTTTTATGACCCGTCTACCCTCTCTGTGACCACTGTGCCATAAACCAAGATGTAACTGTGTCTCCAGCTAGACCTTACCGCCTGTCCAGCTAGTGGGTTACTATGTCTCCATTCAGATTCCTCTGTCTGTCCAGCTAGATTGTTACTGTCTGTCCATCCACGCTGTTACTGTTTGCACAGCTACATTCTACAGTGTCTAGGGCTGGAAAACCCAGCGAGACACTGGTGGACTTTAAGTAGATGATGACAAAATTGCTGTAGACTTAAAAATTTTATGTATTTATCAAAAAAACAACGTGGCCTTGTATATACAAATGTGTTACCAGTAAAATGTACCACTCTCTAATGTGTACATGTGTACATGTATTAACTCAGGGATTGTCTATTGAAAGTAGACTATAACTGCAAGATGATATTGTGTTTAGTGAAATAAACTAGTTATTTATGCTCGCAGTATCATTGTTATATAATATAAATGTACATATTTATGGAAATCTTACATTGTGAATTTTTACATTTTAATTCTCCAACACTGCTTGATAAACTATTGAGATATTTGTATCTCGAGAGAGACTGCGTGTGATCAGTTCTTGCACACGTTATTCGTATTTTACAAAGTCCCAACGTTCCCTTTCTTCTGTCTTCGAATTTACCCCAAAATAAAATCTTTAAAAGCCAGTAATACGTGCAGCAATTGTACTGTTAGTCTGCCGTTGTGAGTACACACTGCATGCCATGTTGTGTACTGACCCATGTCCACAATGTTGTGACCTTCTACCCTTTCCTTGCCCCCTGACCCCTTCCAGAATTTAATGCAGCCTTTTCTAAATTTGCAAATCCTTGGGTGTAAAGGGGATTGTCTGAGGTTTTGTTTTAAAACAGTATTTAAACAAAAATGTAAAAACAACTAAACAAAACAGAGACAATGGCATTTTACCCAAATCCCTACTAAATAAAACAATTAAATATATGCAGGTAGGATCTAATTTATATGTAGGTTTATAGCAATAATCTGCACCGTTATAGCTCTGTTCATTTTGGTGAATACCAGTTACATTCAGAAGTGATCAGAAGGCCATTGAGAACAGTAACCAGGGTTTTAGACTGAGGACCAGGCTAGGTACACGTTTTAAAGCCCTGGGGACATTGTGGCGACTAGGGGGATAGGCAATTCTGGCAGAGGAGGATGGGGGAGGGGTGAAAAGACTGATAGGATCTAAAGCACATTCCCTTATCTGAGATTGTATCAACTATTGTATAGGGCGCCGTAATTATGCTGGAGATAAAACAATGGATCCTTTTGTTCCTCAAATAAATAAATTATGTTTGCTGCTCGATAATATTTTAAATCCCATTAAACGTTGTCAGGAATGGACTTTTTTTTTTTGCATTGGTGGTAATACGTGTCAACAGTAAATCTCACCTTAATGGCAACATTTTTGTTTGTTGTTGCAACATTGGAGAAAAATGCTAAACAATTTAATCTCCTCCAAATTCCTAAATTTTACAGGACAATTAAGTGGGAGATCTTTCTTTCATCTGCAGTGTTAATGTGAGTTTTAATGATATGTTATAGTAAATAAATAATAGGATCAGAGAAATACCCACCCATCTTGATTTCTTTATTCCCTGCGTGTGAATTTTTTTGGGAGTTATTTTCCAAGTTATTGAAAAAAAAAATGGCACACACTCTAATTGCATAGTTAATCTTGAGTACTGCAAATCACAAAATACAAAAGGCGTCAGGTAATAAATTGGCAATAAAAAGACCCAAAATATCCTTCCATGAAAACTGATCACTTCATTTAGATAACAAGTAAATGTCATTACGTGTAGCATTTAATATCCGCGAAATCTAAAGTAGGAGTTTAAAAAACAATTATTTTAGACATTGTGGGCTGTTGAAGGACTTGATGTTCAGTGAAAATTTAAACAAACAACTTGGGTTTATATAATGGTAATACGGTCCCAGCAAAGGTATATGTGAAACGCTCATTGCAATTCAGCAGCGTTTTATATCCTGAAGGAGAATTATTTTTACTTGTCCTGACTTTTAAAGGACCCTATATTAACCCTGTTTGTGCTACGTATTTAATGGCATCAACCAATATGATAGGCTTAAGGGTAATTTTTGAATACCCCTAATGCATAAAAATTATTTCATGTATTTTTTTTCTTGGGGGGGCGGGGGGAATTATTTTCTGGTTTTATTTATTTATTTTTGGTACACCCTCTAAGAGACATATACAAAGACAATTTAATCATTTCCTGATATGTAAGTTCTATACTGAATGCATTTTTTCTGTTTTATAATTTTCATTTATTTATCATTTTTACGTTCTACCAGCAATTTGTGACACAGATCCACAGTTTTAACTCGTGACTACTTGCATTAAAAAAAAAAATACAATGTTAGGTGTAAAAGAAATAGTTCATTTAACAAATTAGAGAGAAGAGGAACAGGCCTCCTCCTTCCAAAACTTCAGCCCTCCAGTGCTCTCCCTCTCTCTCTCTGGGTGGATGTGAAGGTCCTAAACGTGACTGATTCACAAGGCGGGGGTCTCCATTTTGCCACAACGTGCACAGCAACTTAATCTTAAACCAAGAAGGGGATATAGCGATTAATAAATGGGTTACACAATGCAGCTCAGTATCTAGGCTCTGCAAGCCTGGATCTACTAACTTACTGGATGGAAAGCCCTGGAGTTTGGATCAGATACAAAGGAAGGTAAGAATTTATCCCCCTCTGCTCCTGTTTACAGACAATGGGCGAACAAAGACAGGCAGACATTATAGGGTTGTTGTCCCTTTAATTCTGTATTATTATTTTTTTTCTCGCATCCCTTTAAACTTTGCAATTTTTTTTTATTTGTTATGGATCTACATTGTTTTGTGTTTCCTGGAGATTATTGTTGCTGTTGTTGAAAGCAGATGGAATGAAATGATCGCCCATTGACATGTAACGGTGAGGTCAACAATGCCTTGTTTTGTTTGTTTTTGTGTATATTTTTCAAATAAGAATTTTGCGCCAATAAAACGTGCTGTAGATAGGAATGTAGCAGAGTTTTTCATGGTGGAAATAAAGTCCCGGGATGGAGTGTGCATTGCGGCTGTGTGTGTGTGCAGCCGGAGTTATTTTATTTTTGACACTAAGTATCATGTCACATTGTTCCAGGAGGAGGGGGTGGGGGTAATAACAAACTAACACACAGCTCCCCAGGCTGATCTGGCTATCGGTGTATTGGGGGGATCCGAGGGTCTGTACAGCCCGATGGAAACTTGGGGTGTTACTGGCTTGGGGTAGCACGGTGTGGCTTGGCTGGAATAGCAGAGTATAGCTTGGATGGCACAGCATAGAACTACTTTATAGGGGAAGCACGGTGTGGCTTGGAATGGGGTAGCACAGTAATTTGGGATGGGTAGCTGGTTGGCATGGGGCAGTTTGGCTGGTTGGCATGGGATAGCCTGGTTAGGATAGCATTGTACAATTTGGATGGCATAGCCTTATAGAGCTTGGTCTGGTTAATTCCTGTGAATGACTAGTATTGGGGCAGTTCTGGGAAAATTAGGGAGCAGCAAAAAAAAAAAAGTCTGTTAGTTAGCCCGGGTCTGCACGCCTGGGTTATAGCGAATAGCATGTCAGGTCTTATATGGGCTGACAATGCACTTTATACATACAGCATACTCAGAGCTGTATACAGGAGATAGAGCATAGATCTGCATGGTCAGGACACTCCCAGGGCACAATATACAGGATAATGCATTGTTCTTTGTGGTAGGTGAAGTGTCACACACAGTATATAAGGGATATAACACGGTCCGGACAGTCCCATATATATACAGTGGACACAGCATAGATCCAAACATGATTCTATTCAGAGATCTGATAATGGTTCGAAATTTGGAACGTTCACAACACTAGTTAATTTGTCTCTATAGCTAGGGTGACACTATACAGGCCAGGTAACAGTGACACGCCGCATCACACACTGAAGGTGTCACATATTTTATATAACCCAATAACAGGCAGATTGTGACCTCTGGGAAACCAAGGACTGCTTGTGAGGTCACAGATTGCACCCTAGTTCCTGCCCTAATCTACCCAGCACTGTGTGTACAGTACTGTTTATACTACAGTAAATGTAATATTTGTGTAATAAATCTTTGCTGAAATTCCTGGTTGTGTCCAATGAGATTGTGAATGAATATTAGGCAGTTATTCCGAGGAATCTGACAGTATCAGTGCTGAACACGAGAGGTTACTGGGGGCAAGTTATTTGTCAAAATCCTCTAAGAACAAAGACATTGCAGAGACAAAACACGCTCTGCAATGGGATATATTCACTAAATTGGGAAAAGTGGAGGTCCTGGGAAGAGAAATGAAAATTTCAGTCGAAATCAGACCAGGAAATTGAGTTGAGAAATTGCTTTCCCACTGGTGGCTGTGCAGCCATTTCTAAAATTTGACATTTTTAATTTCCTAGAAATTTACAGAATATATCTTTATAATTCGAACCCACCCCATCATTCATTCAGCATCAGAAGATGACATTGTTCCTTTTTTCCCCACATACAAACCCTAAGTAAGCAGAGACAGGGACACAACATTTAGTGACCAAATTGTGTGTCATTATAGCACTAGCCTTACTGCTTTGTACTGTTTTGGAGGGGCAGATAAAGAGTTCTGTCTTTTCCAGTTCTAAAGACATCATGATGACCATCAAAACAAGAAGCAATGGCAAACGATATTTTATATGGTCACTGGGAGATTGTCTTGACCTTTAGATATCATTAGCCATAGCCATCAGTATGGCATTTGCACATGGCCAAAACTCCAGAGAAGAGGGGCCACATTGTGGGTGTTCAGCAACTGTGTCCTTCCTGGTTTTAGATAATAAAAAAAGTTTATAAAATTGCTAAAAAACAAAAACAAAACAAGAGCCCTGCTAGTTTAGCTGTGTCTGTTTGGCACAGAAGGGGTTAAAAGAACATGAGGCTATGAGGATGCTACCTTCTTGCTTGCAGCCTGACACATGTATATGTTTTCTAATCCTCTTGTTTGTAGTATTGCCAAGAGCTTCAGTCAGGCCAAGGCTGGGAAGGGGTGGGGAGGAGCTGATGGGGTTTGGGTAGGGTTATAGGAGAAGGCGGGATAGTGATATTACTATAGTACATAGCTGGCATGATCCAGACCACAAATGAAAGATCTGAGCATTCCTCACCCAAAACTGACAATTTGTGTTTGTAAAATGTAATGACTAGTTTAATGGAATGTCAGATTTAAAAAAAAAAAAAATTTAAATGGTGAGATGCTTACAATGATGATAAAGAATAAAAGAAACAAAACAAATCTAAACAAATATTTATGTGTAGAGAGATAATTAGCTAGAGCAATCACAGTCCAAAAGTAATATTATGAATTGAAACCTGACCTGCGAGTAGTGATAGGCTTTAAATCATACATAAGCAATTATTAAAAGTCTTTTTTTTACTAATGGATTGTGGCACATGGACAGTAGATTTTTGCTAGAAATGTAGACTGAGTGAGTAAGATAGGAATGTAATTCACACATATTTGCAGTGTCAATGACAAACCATCATTGGATTAGTAAATAGACCCTACCCACCCTCCAAAAAGTTAACCTCTTAAGGACCAAACTTCTGGAATAAAAGGGAATCATGACATGTTGCACATGTCATGTGTCCTTAAGGGGTTAATCAGACAGTTGCACATAAGGGCACTCTGCAAAAGGGACTGTCCCTCAAACCTTACCAACATAAGTATTAAATAGCATGTCACTAAAATGAGATGGCTTTGTTTGTAAGACTGACACATGAGTAATCAAGGTTTAAAGAACCACGTGTATACAGGAAAACATTTCAGTTCTGGTCATTGAAGGAAACAAAATTGGCCCAGGAGAGACAGCATATTAACCTTTTCAAGGCCAGAATTTAGGCAAATCTTTGTGCAATGACTGCCTTGGCAAGTTGTGTGTCATGAAGGTGTTAAGGGATAATCACAGGTTTCTGTGACCCCGAGAAACTGTCTGATCACCCTGATATCTTAGAAAACAGGCCCCTCAGGCTCAAATCTAGGATGTCCTGGATCTAGGAGGATATAAGGGACATTGTATGAGTTATAAAGTATAATTTATTTCTGTTTAATATGTGAACATCTAGCTTTTGTAGGTCTGAACTACAAATATGTGCTTGTAGCAACACCAACAGTTATGTTGTAATCTATATCTGAGGATCTGTGAATTTTATTGTTAAAGCACAAAGTACAAGTAACAATGATCGGTAGTCACATGGCCTGTAAAAAAATAAAAATAAATAAATCTAAGAAAAGAATGTAGTTTAAAAAGAAAATTCACAGGCCTTTCTTTTGAATTTTATTTTTTTGATTGCTGCATCTTTTAGAAACATCTGAACGAACTCTCAACACTAGCCACAAAACAGTCACTATCCAGGGCCCAGTGATCCACATAGATCTAATCCACCCCCCTTTACAATTGAGAATCTTTGGGAAATTATACATCAATCCTTCAAAAAAGTTTCACGCCTTGATTGGCTGGAGTGAAGCTCAATGAGTTACATGTAATTAAGACACAATTGATGCCCTTTGCTTTAGTGAAAAATCACAAAGGAAGGGAAGGAAAAAAAATGGGGCCTTTTGATTTAGGCCACAGTATTTTGCAGACATCAATTTTCCCCAATCTTTATAATTATGGAAGGAATTTAAAAAGTTGAACACAAGAAAATGTAGCAAAATATATAGATCTTGGGCAAGATTTCTCCTCTCTCCCTAGTTGTGAATTAAAGTGAGGTGAGATGCTAGTTTGAAAATTGTCTGTTTGAAACAGACAGTACACAAAATCACGAAAACACCATGTGAATTTACAAAATATTTAGTATATTGGTGGTAGTAGTTTTTTAAAGTTCCACTGATGTTCTGTATCACATAACAATCACAGTAACTTACACAAACAGGGAATTCAAAGCAAGTTTAAACATTTTAAGCCAAAATTATTGACTTGAGGGTTTATTCACTAAACTAAAAAGTGCACTGAATGGAAAATGGCAAAATATTTAATTTGGGAACATTCTAAAAATTCCCTAAAGACACAGCTTGGCTATTTCGAGCATGAATTTTGCATTACTTTCTACAAGTCACAGTTAACCAAATAAAGCCCTTTGAATCATTTTCCACTTTGGCTAATTTTTTCTAAAATTTGTAATTCATTTAGAATTCCTGTCTAAGAGAATTAAGAGGCATCATATTAATACCGGTTTAGTTCCTTTCTTTGTAAAAATGGACAGCACACTCTCAACTGCAATAAACTCAGAAATGCAAATGACCTGTGCACACATGCACTCATACAAAAAGTGTATGTGATCTGGATAAATCCTCCAATTTAACTTTTACCTTTTGTATTTGTTTATACTGTGCTGTCTTCTCTCCCCCCCCAATTGTGCAGAGCTATGGATTATGTTGGCGCTTTATAAATACCAGTAATTATTGTAATAATACCTGTAGCTATAGCTAGGTTTATTTTTGTCTAAATTTTGCCATTTGGATGGCAATTTAATAACATTAAAAGTTTAGCAAATAAACCCCTCAGCCTCCAATTTTGTAATTTGGATTTCAGTTCACTGCAATTCAGAGTTCAGTAAATAACCCTGTTGGGTGATGGGATCTCTCTGTCTGGAAGTGCAGGAGTTAATCATGTGGCTGTGGCTCTGAGAGAGCATCCTCTGCATCACGTGGGCTCGCCCTGAGCTCCCGGGTTGACCTTTCACCTTTTCCCCGGCGTTCCATTCAAAGCACTTTTTCTTCCTCACTCACAACACCCCCAGCTGACCCCCTCCCCCCTCTATCTACCCTTGCAGCTCATGTCGAGTTCGAGTCTTGGAGAATCCCTTCTTGGGCCCCTTACGTCACCAACGGTCAGGGGTGCCATTCACAGGATCCCCCATCAAACAGACAGAGGATTCTAGAGCCACCTTAGGGAGTTCTATTCTAACAGGGCCTGGTCCCAGCACATCTCTCCTTATCTTACTCTCTATACATTAAGCTGGATACTTTTAATTGTATTTATTTCCTGAGGGTTCTAACCTCTTTTAAAAACCACCATTAACCCTGTAAAACTACTAGCAGCCTGCTAGCAAAGCCAAGTATCAAAAACTGTATTTCTGTAAATAATTTAGTCTCTTTTTCTCAATGCAGCTTCATTATTTCAGGGCCTTGCAGGAATTCATTTCCACTTTGTTTCAGCATCAACCACTTCTTAAAAAATGTAGGGCCATACATACCACATAGATTTAAAATAATAAAATAAATGTAATAACTTTATTATGGAACACAGAAAAAAATATAATGCAGTTAATGGGGAGTGGGGTGGTGGGTAAAGGAGGGTGATGGCTCTAGTACTGAATTCTGTTTCATAGAAAGAAGATGACTAATTTAATCATTTCAGTTTTTGTTTAATAGGATAAAATGTACTAGTAGTCATTTTAAAACAAGATCTAAAATTAAGATAATATAGTATTTATTACTGTGCGGGGGGGGGGTAAGGGAAGTGCAGAAAAAAACAAACCTTACAACAAAACAAAAAACATGAATAATTTTAGGGCAGTGGGAATAGCACTGTGGATGACAATACTATATAAAAAAAATTTCTTCAAACTTCGCAATATTTAAAAAAATTGAACTCAGGCAAAAAAAAAAAAAAAAATATAGGCCAAGATGTAATCTTCTCCTGTAGGAAATGTGAAATCTTTCTACAAAAATCAAGTCTTTAAATAAAACAATGTGCATGTAGAGATCTAATTAATAACAACTGTTACATTGAATGAAAATGCACATTTATCTAGCTTCAAATAAAGTTAAATAATATGGATTGCAAAGATATTGATAAAAAAAAAAATAATATGGATTGCTCTTGAAAATAAAACTTGAAAACAAACGCTAGTTAGGTCCCCCAAAAATGCAGAAAGGCAAGTATGAATAGGAGAAACAAGTCACATATGTAGCTGTCAGGGTTCAGTGATCGCAATGAGAGAGATTCCTGAGCTCTGGACCAAAAAATACATTTTAATGGGACAGTTCCAGCCTTAACCCTTCACTGTTGACATGTTCTGCAATGCGAAGCTCTCAAATAATAATAAAATATATATATTAGCCTAATTTACTCAACCTCTCTAATTTGAAATGACGCCTGTGCTGAATGCATCTGAAGTCACATATTTAGCATTAACTAAAAGAAACCTATTTCTGAATTAACTGCATTATGTACACAGGAAGATCATTTAGAATTTTCACCATTTGCTCAGCCATAATTTTATTATTCTTATTATTATTCTTTTATTTTGCTACTTAACCAAGAACTAATGAAATAACAGGATTTGAGGACATTTTAACTTTACTTATACTTCCCAGTATATCAATGTCATTAATATGATACAGATCTTTAAGAGAAAGGAGTTTATTTAAAATTGTATATATTAAATGAAGTTAAAACCCCTAATTATCGATACTCTTCTGTAGTCCTTGATTTAATTCAAATAATTTTAAACATATGATACACACATGATTTCTACATACATGAATATATTAAACTTCACATATTAAAACAAGGAGTATCATTTTCTGTTGTGATTTTATTATTGGCTAACTTTAGCCTAAAATTTATTAAGACATTTTAACACAAGCATTTTTAGATGGAACATTTAGTAAGAATTTTGAAGCTACAGATTTATTTTTAACCCTGTTATTACTAGGCCATTTATACATTCTTTCATGCAATAGATATGCAAAAAGGCATATTATCATTACATGTACACCTGTATCAATTGCCAGCGTTCCCTGTAGAATGTAAGCTCTGGTGAACCTTCTCTTTTTACTATATCTTCCTATAGCATTGCAGGACAGCATGGCACTCTACAAATAAACAATTAAGTTCTGTTTAGTGACAAAGCGACAAACGTCCAATAGTTTAACATCCAACTACAGGCAAATCTACGGGCTGTATAATTCCTAAAGGTTGCACACACACACACACAACAATGGATAACTATACTTTTCTGAGTGAATAAATGCAAGAGAGCATGTCCCCCTCACCCCCATTTTAATTAAATCGATTCAAAACTTCGGAACATTTTAAACCATAACAGCATTCAATATTAATAGAGCTTCAGAGTTCTTTAAGTATGGAAGCTGACTCTCCATGACATATAAAGGTATGTCACAAGTGAAAAATAAATTAATTGTACTGGGCTTTTTACCTGCCTTTTTGTATGGAAAATACAAAATGCCTCTGTATTCATGGTAAACACAACAAAATAAATCTGTTTGCAGTTTCTTGAATTTAAGAACAATTTGTAAGAGCAACATTAAAATAATCAAAATTACTACTTTTTTTAAAGGCCCTTAACAAATTTGTTGGAATTTATGACTTGATTGAAGAAAAGAAAAAACATTAAGGCAAAACAAAGTGAAACGTCATCATCACCGGACCAACATCTCATTATTACCAACTTCAGACATTGACAAGGTGGTGTTTCCATAATTATTTTGTCCAAAGCAAATCAGGAAAACCAGTGGCACCTGCTTAAAAAAAATAAAAAAAAATATACAAAACAAAGTAGAACAATGTTTGTTTCCCCATAATATAGGAGAGACCCAGAATATTATCTTAACCTTAAGGAGCACTTTTTATAAACAGGTTACGGTTTATGTGGCGAAAGGGCACATATTAAAAATGTCAAGACATAAAATGTTGGGACTGGAGGATTTTTTTTCTGTTTCTTTCAATGAAGTAAAAAATGCACAACAGCAAAGCTGAATCTTTTATCAAAGTTGATCGGCAACATTTCTACATTTACAACGCTACCAAGTTTGGTATAATCCATCCATTACGTTGATTTTTATTTTATTTTCTCTTGGAAAATAAATTACAATATCAATGCCAATAGACATTAAATATAGAAAAAGAAAATAAGCTAAAATATTTGTTTGGGACACAAAACAAAGAGGGTTAAGATGAACATATTAAAATAAGAAATTCAAGATTTAAAATATATATTTTTTTTTCACCAAGATTCACTCCTCTTAAAATTATATTTTGTCCATAATAATAATGGGATTATCAGTGTGTGTCTGTGTGCGTATTATATATACATGCCTATGGGCCTAACAATCAAATGAGAATATCTGTTAAGATAAAGGCACAGCTTGTCCGCTTGTTCTGAAAATAAACATTTATGAGACCGTAATAGTGAATATATAATTGCCTAATGGATTACGATTACGCAAATGGGTTTATGTCACTCATAGGCCTATATTAATCTAAAAAATAAATAATTTAATCCTTTGATTGACAGGGGTCTGATCAATGCTACTCAGTGGGTTGCATAAAACCCTGGCACCCTAAAGGTTAATATGACTCCCTTTGTCTATGGAACATAAAATGGTTTAAATTGCTATCTCTTAAGCAGTTTCCCCAAGATCCAGTTATGCGGTTGTCATGTGGTCGCAGTCCCTGCTTCTCTCTTATTTTTTTCAGTTGAAACACTACAAAACAAAAACCCAGTATGTATGTGTGTATATATATAGATTAGATAGGTGTGTAGGGCTGAGCTGGATGAGTCTGTTTGAAAACAACTGCTAAATAACAGTGTTTCCTCCTCTAACCCACATGTGCACAGGAAGGGGTTTACAGTAAGTTCCTGTTGAATATTAGCAGATTAACTACATTCTTTGCTGGAGGTGTATGCAGATCTGAACATTCTCTTTTGCATTTCTATAACACCACATAGTAATTTCATGAAAATATAAAAAAGTTAAAAAAAGTAAAAGTTGTTTATTCCATTATTATTGTTTTTTTTTTAGCAGACTAGAATATTTTTAAATGCAGAAAGAAAAAGCCCCCAAAACAACAAATAATGTGGTGAATTGCAGGCGATACTTTCTGATGACTGATTTGCGTCATGGTGTACTGTCATTTGCAGGATAAACCAAACAAAAACAACACAAGAAAAACCAAACAAAAAAAAAAAACACACACACACAAAAAAGCAACTGGAAACAGGAATAGTGCCACAGGACTTGAATTTAACCTCTTCGTGACCCCTTTATCATAGTAGTCCATGTATGTTGCAAGTCAGAAAGGTGTAAACTTGGTAAATTGCTTTGTTTATTGAAACCTTCACTTTAAAGATTAATATGGAATAAATAAAAAAAAAAAATGCATTTTTTTGTGCAGACCATGGAGTTTATTTACTAAACAGAATTGTGGTGAATGGACAACCTGACTGCAAAATGCAAAAATCTGTTCACCAACTGTGAGTGTTGGTAAACTAACAACTGACTTGTAGGCGATGTTTTAAAAATTAAAAAAAATAAAGTTGGACATTGTCTCAACACCATTCTGGCGTAGGCTTTGCCCGTTTGTCAGTTTAAAACTTACAAGGTTATCAACTAAACACTTAATTCTGGAAAAGGAAATCAAAAAATGGCAAAATGTATCGCAAGATCAGGAATCATTTTCCAGCTCATCTATTTAAATGCAGGCTTTTGGCTAATTTAGTGTTAGTGTTGCCATTTGTATTTAATTTGCTAAAATTTGGTGTTTAGTGACTAACCCAGACACTTTAGTGAAAAGAATGGGGATGAGCTGGAACACTGTCCAACTTGTCCCCCCTTACCTCCCTCTTAATAAAACGATTTCTCATGGCATTCAACAGCTATATATATATGTATGTATGTATGTATGTATGTATGTATGAATGAATGTATTACAAGTCAAAAGGAATTCAAGATATATTAGTCAAAGAAAATGGAGTTATTTTAACATTGTATTTATATTATTCTATCTTGAGTGCTTCTGTATTTATTTAATATCATAAAAGGATGCATCCAAACCTGTATTACCATTTGCATTTAGTGGATAACTCCATTGACATTTTTTTTTTTTTATTGACATACATAACGCACAGTTAGAATAACATACAACAAAAAATACTAAAATACAATAAAACAGCTTACGTTTGTTCCTGGGTAGTCATTAAGACTGCACTATTAAGGCAGTATCTATTTGCAATAACTTTGAAAGCATAGTCAGATGGAACAGCATATGCAAAACACATTGAGCCCCAATTATACTTGTTACAAATCACATCTGAATCCGAGGTTCATTCCTACATACGAGGATCTATTCATTAAACTGTAAATTGTTGTAGGATGACAACCGATTGCCAAAATCTAAAAAAAATAATTAATAAATTAGTCCAGTTATTTTTTTTCCTCACAATTCTTTTTGGGTCTAGAATTTGTGTGTTCTAATCTCAAAGGCTGGAATTAAACCCTAGGTCAGTTTAGACACTGAAATGTTTATTCACCAAACAGCAAAACATAATGAATCTGAAACTAAATGACAAAAATCTGGATAAAATAGATAAATTCTGACTAGAGCTCAGCTAAATAATATTTTCAAATCACCTATTCTGGCCTATATTTTGCCATTTAGTTTTCAATTAAATACAATTCACTATTAAGTCAATAAACCCCTTTGGCTATTAACGTTTAATTTCTAAACATTGTTTTTAATTAACTGCTCAGCCAATGAAACAGCTATTCTGATATCATGAATTTAGCAAATAATCATTCCCTCTGCTAAGAAAATATGGCAGATTAAGAGATGTCCAAACACTACATTCAGATATGTATACATTTTTTATATGTTAACACTTGAAGTACCATGTTGTTCTCAATATATAAAATACTGTATGGAATGATATAAACCTAGAAGGTCTAACCTTTAAAGTCTTCAGGATATTTAGGCCTGTACAATCAGTTTACCATATACATCATGAAAATTACAGCTAGTGACATTCATGCACCCAAATAATTGTTTTCTTTGCAAACATAATAACAAAAAGCAATAATAACAACATGATGTTTTTATTTTTGCAATTAGACCAATAACGTGCTGCAATTGTGTAGATCATTTACAATTTTATTTATATTATATACAGCATATATATTATTTGCAATGGGTTTCCTGATTGATATATCCATCCTATTTTAATGGCTCATCATTGTTTTAGACAGTGAATGGAAACTAGTAATTCCTACAAATTATTATAATAATGGATTCATCAAAAATGTATTGGTATTTTAAATTGTTTAAAATAATTCTGCTATTTGGTGAAGGATGATTACAATACGTTTTTCAAGACGGTTACCCCATGAACACAATGTGCAGTGTCCTGGGGCCAACCAATGTTTATACTTTGTTTTTAAAAAGAAGTGCTAGTGTTTTATAAGAAACCGTGACACCTGACTAGGCTCCTCACCTGTGTTCTTAAACAGAACAAAATATGGTCACTAAGTAAAAGCTATTCAGTGGCCAAACATTCTCCCAACTTTTTCTTGAAATGAAGAATGTCAGAATTTCAGCAATGTAGGTAATGGAACTCTTCATTAATAAGCTTCTCAGTAGTATTAAAAACTGCGAGAGAAAAAAAACAAAAACAAGCATAGGTTAATATGGAATACAATAGGAACAGAAATGATGTGAAAAAGATTGCACATGTTAAAACTGTCAAACATTGCATCTAAGTCCAAGAAGAGGCTACAGGAGATATTATGTAATTCTGGCACAGGTTAACTATCCTTGAACAGTATTCCCAACAGCAGAGGGAGGTCTGAGAAGGAGGGGGCTGGGTTACACAGCCAGGAAATACTGCAAGTTTACACTAGCTGGTTGTCCTTCGGGCACTACCATTGTTTCCAGCCCATCGTTGCTGTTTTCCTGATCAGAAAGAAGAGGGTGGGAAAATAAGCAGATCTTGCAAGATCTCTGTGCAGCATAGTTTACTACATACACTCAGGGGTCAAAGCAGCTCGGGTTTATGTCTCTTGGAGAAAATATAACCTTAACAAACGTAAAATGAGCTCTTTTGTGCAAGCTGTGCTGTGGGCTTTGGAGTCCAGGAGCACGGGTATTTTATAGAACGTTTAGATCAGTAGCTATTTTATGGAATGCAAAAGGTTAAAATAAGGACCTTGTATATTTAAAAATGAAAAAAAAAAAAAAAACCTCACCACCATAAATTCACAAATGCAATAAAATGCAGAAATCAATGTGTTTAATCTGCTAAGCAGTTAAGGGAAAAATCGAAGCAAATAATATAAATAAAAAAAAACAACAAAAAGAACTCACCAAAAATACAAAGAAAAACCAAATATATACGTTAAGGATTTGACAGGGAGTAGGTGCTGAAAGAATACCTCGCTAATTTTTAGCGCTCTATGGACGGCCTAGCTAGTGGAAGCACAGAATGAGGGCTATACAGGGCTAGGTGCAGTATTAAGGAAATCGGTTAGTGTAGATCGGCTTGCACGAAGGGTAAAACAGATAATATAATAAAAGCCATTCGTGGGGGAAGGCAATTTATTTATTCTGTTTGATTATTATATTATCATCATTATAAATCAATGATAATAATAAAATCACAGAGGGAGCTGCTAGGAGCCTGATTAAACGGTGCCAGTATTTCTCTAGGTAGAAATCTAAGTCAATAGGTATAAAAGGACTCTCCTGTTATTTTCGATGCGATGTGCTGTGAGCCCCGAGTGTCAGACTGCTGGGGCAGGTTATCGGCAGAGCTACGAGGGTTCTATTTTCCGAACGTTGCGCTCGTGGTTTAATAGTGATACATTGTGTAAAAGGATGCACACTTCCTGTTTCACAATAACCGATCAGCCAGAGAGAAGTGCTCACGTTTCATGGCCAGTTGATCCCGCTTTAGGGCTGAAAACCAGCTAAGGATTGCAGGGCAGGGTATTCTGTTCCCAAATCTTTTGTCATACCTCCTGGTCGGACACACGAGGAGGGAGTGCTATACCCCCTGCTATAGCCTCCCCAAAAAGTCAGGTTACCCGGGTAGTCATCATTCTACTCCCTGTTACATAGATCGTTCTAGATAGAGGTACTTCTGAACAAAAACAGAAAACGCCTTAAGTAACTATCTGGAGTCTGCCCCTGCTCATCAAAAGATTGGGTTTATTGCAGTTATTAACCCCTTGTTTGTCCTTTTGACAAAGGGGGTTTATTTACTACATAGTGATTTTTTAAAACTAAAATTCCAAATTGCCATAAAAGCCAAACAGAAAATACAACCGAGTTTGAAAAATACTACAACACGAGGTTTAGTAAATAAAAAAACAAATATAACAACAAAAATGAATAAAAAAGTGACACTAGTTTTATAACCTAAACCGTGAACTGTACTGAATAAAAAAAAAAAATGATATATATATATATATATATATATATATCTCAACATTCAGGCAAAAGCTGTGGCTATATAGCCATGTTAAATCTACATTTTGGAAATCGGGGTTTTATTCACAGCTTAGTGAAAACTTTGAGCAGACATACAAATATTATATATATATAAAAAAATGACAAGCTAAAATGTATTTACACAGACCAACAGCGTTTTGGGCAATTAAAAATCTGAAGATGGTAAAAGGTAAATGGCCAGTGGTAAAATTAAAAATGCTCAGCAGCCAATTACATTTAAATTATATGACGCCGAATCGTTCTGGTTGCAATCACTTGTTTGACAAGCTCAGAAATAAAAAGTTGAATTGACACACAACGCACTGCAGCAAAATTAAGCGAGCAAACGAGGTTTTAATTGGAAAGAGGGAGAAATAATAAAAAGAGAAATTGGAATACTGTGGTTTTTATTTTATTTTTTATAGAAAGGTGTTCTCTTGGCAATGAATGGACTATATATGTGTGTGTACATGTTGTAACTGGCTGATCTGAAAACCCTTTACTGAGCACTGAAGTTAAATTAGCAGAATCTTGTCAGGGATAATTTTGCACCTCCATACTGTAACTGCTAATCCGCATGCCTCCTTTGATTTCATTCTAGTTATTCAGACAGGAAAGACGAGAAAATGTTTCAAATGAAATAAAAAGGGGCGTTTGGATGAGTGGCTTATGCTATTCACCTTTCTGTGAAGAATACTAATTTGTGCTGTAAGAGAAAGTTAAATTGTATTCCCTCCCCCCACCCCCTTCTCACACTATTGTAAGGGGGTAAATAACACGTGACTTTACCCCCAACATGTTAAGCTATGTATTTACATATAAGGGGTTAAGGATCTGTGATAGGAAGAGGCCAGTTTGGAGTTGTGCCTGCTTTTCAAGTGTCCAAAGTTGAATAGCAGCGTGTTACGTGCTTTTCATAATGTGAATCACTTTTAAAATATACTCATCAGAATCACTAGATGCTGGGCAAAAAATTTTACAAAATAAAAACTCAAAGCATAGTAGTAAAACTGTCATCACACATGTAGAATAAAAATAAATAGAAATTATGATATATACACACACACACTTTTAATAAAGGCAAGGTGATATCCATAATTAAAAAGGACTACAACCCCTGAAATACAAATTACATATATTGTGAAATAGTCGTGTACTGGATTCAAAGTTACTGTATCTGCTCCACGAGGGGAATGTATAGGAAAACAACTTTGTGTATAATGTGTTTTGAACGGTTAAAAGATAAATAAAAAAAATTAAACAAAAAACATAAAATACAATGCGTACCATTTATTTTCACTTACATTATTTTTTGGCTATACATGTGATCAGCAATTAAATATACAAAAAAAAGAAAAGAAAAAAAAGAATAGAAAGATCAGTGTAAGGGTTAATGTTTATTTCTCAAAAAAAAAAAAAAAAGGGAAGAAAAAATATCCCACAATAGTCTAGATTTGTCACCGTTCACCAGCAGGCTTTATTTTCCTCCTAAGAAGAAAACCTTTTCATAAATAAAAAAGTCACAACAACATGTTTGCTTAAACATACACAGACAGCATTAGCAACATAAAACACATTTTAGATTTTTTTCCCAGTTCCAAATACACTACTTTTAATTAACCCTTTAGTATAAATGATTTTGTGGACGTAAAACACTAAAGGGTTTAATATTTCCTTAAACAGATAATTGTTAAAAATTAAATATATATATATATATATATATATATATATATATATATATATATATATATATATAAAAAAAAAAAAACACATCTTGAATTCAGTTTGTTTATTTTAGCCTAAATTTCGCAATTTTATTTACTACTTATTACTGTTTAGAAAATAAACCCTTAGCGTTCATAAAATGCATCTCTGGCCACTTTTTACTTTAATGTAAAAATCATCTTTGGAAAAAGGGTGAGCGTCACTTCTTTTAATATACATTTTCAGTATTTGGCATTAAAATCAGGATTAAACAAATACATAGATCACTCTACAAAAATCCATCGTTTCTAAGGAAACTCATTTTGGTGCTTTTCCCCCAATTCACATCCAGTGGAAAAACTATGCTGGTTCCCTAATGATTTTCTTCCATGTGCATCAAGTGGAAAATACACATTAGGGCCTTGGCAATACAAGAATTTTCCCAAAGGCACAGCATGAGCATGCGATTCACTCAACTCTATTTCTGCATTGAGGAGAACCCAGGCACATATATTCCAAACATATTCACAAGGAGGGGCCTACAATTTAAGCCCTTTATGCAAACAAGTACTAAAGGAGAAAGCCAGTATTAGCCACATTTTATAAACAAAGCCCATAGAGACAGACAAGTTTTGAGTATTAATTAAAAAAAAAAGAAAACCAAAAAGCACTCAAAAAACAAACACCCACCCAAATTAATAAAAAAAAAAAAAAGTCTGCAGTATTTAGACAATGTTATGTATCCAGTATGCAAATTGCTCCTGTAAATCCTTTGCAAGTAAGTGTTTAAATGAACATCTGCAGAATAGTCAGGTACAGGAGATATGACATTTTAACCTTAAAATTATAAATTTCTTGTTCCCAAATGTCAGAAAAGAATCCTTAGCCAAGTTTCTTAAAAATCACTAGAGAATAGGTGTTTCTGTTTAACAGTATAGTATACAGTAGAGTTTATATTTTCAAGGTACACATAACATTTTAACCCTACACAGACTATTAGGGATTAGCAGTATATGGTTACATATCTGTTTTATACACTTCTAAATTTGTGTTCCATCTGGAGACAGTAGAAGACAGAGTCTGTATCATGAAGTTTCACATAATCAATACACTGCATGAAATATAAATGTGCTACAATAATTATATATTATGCAGAAAATTCTATGGTTCAATAAAATGTGGATGGATCAAAAGCAAAATATAATAAATAAACTATTTAGACTACTAGGCTGTCTAGATGGAGGACTGGTGCTAGGCTGCATTGCCAAGTAAAGGATGCCTATGTTATCGTCCAACCCAAATGCTATATAATATAATATTATATACACACACACACACACACACACAAAAAATGTAGATTGAAAGCCGTATTAGTCTAGTACACAGGATGCCAAAATAACAGTGTTATATACCAGAATTTTGTTTCTTTTAGTTTGGGGAGGTGTTTGTGTTTTGTCTGTTGTTTTTTTCCCTTTAATTAATACTCAAATATACATATAGAGCTATAGTGGCAGCCTAGAGTTTTGGAAGGGGCTGTCTGTCTTTAAAATGTTAAGCCCCACTCCACTTCAGGCTGACACTGTCCAATTTTGTTGCCCCACCCTCCTCTTATCAAAGTTATACATAGGTGAACACTCTTTATTTACAGGCCTACCCGAATGTCAGTAACGGCACACCTCAACCGACTTACATTATATGCGGAATCAACTTGTCTTCCTCCCTCTCCCCCCAAATGAAATAAATTAAATATATATATATATATATATATATATATACACACACACACACACACACACACATACATATACACACACGCACGCACGCGATTAAAAGATTCAGCACGGTTGAGTAGAAATTCACAAAAATAAATAAATAAATAAAAAGGATTTAAAAGTTTAGAGATTAAAAAAAAAAAAAAAAAACCCCACACCAACCCAACAACTAAACAAACCAAACCATAAAAAAATAACACATGCTTAGATTCACCAACATCTCAATGTGTAACCTCAAAAAAAAAAAAAATCTGATTGATGACTGATGTCATGTCACACAGATCATGCATAGATACATTATATAATAGGTAGTTATACTACTCGTTAGTCACAATCAGTGACATTATCAAGAGGTAACCCATAATGTATCAGTTGCATGCCAGGTTCTATTTTCCTTATAACATAGCAACAGTTAGTTAACAGAATGGATGTGTAAACCATGACACTATATGAAATATTTCTTCCATTGCGCTAGCAGTAGTAATTTTCGGTTTGAGGTTTTGATTAATGTGATTCATCTAGTCCTTTAGGGTGGCTGAGATTTTTGGGAAATTTAGTTCACTAACATCGATAAAGTCAAAATTAGTAATTTTTACTCACTGGAACGCTAGCAAATAAATACTGGACATATAAAAATCTAAACCTACATCTTTCAAAATGGGTGGAAAAAGATGCCTTCACACAGGTGGTAAAAACTATGACATTATTAATAACAGATTGAGTCCATTGTCTGCAGGGCACTGTGAGTGTCTCGCATACCAGCAACGGCACTTTTTGATCTTTAAACACAATATGCATAAGAAGCAGAACAATGGCACCAAATAATTATAAGTACTCCATTTTTAGAGAGGAGAGTCAACAATCAGTTAGGGTTTGTGATTGTGCAGGCCCCACACAAATACATTTGAATGAATGCTTAATGTAAATCTCTGTTTAAAACCAAGGGAAAGGACAACGAGCCCTCTTCTGCAAACACTGTATATCATGCTTTTCTTATCTTCTTTAAACAAAGAGAATCTACAAAAAGTCTGGCCATTTAAAATTAAAGACAAACTGACCCCCCCAATAAAAGGTTTTGAGAACAATTGTAATATTTGATGTCTTAAAACAATTCTTGCAGGTGAGACCCTTTAAAAATAAAAATATATATTTATCTGTAGATTAGTTTGTAATAGTATATGTTACACGTTAAAATAAATACATGCAGTTTTTTTGGCGGTCTTGCAATCCGTAGATAAGACCTTTAATTAAGGATATATATACACACACATATTCTAGCAAAATACTGTACAGGCTGTATACAAATGATTACATGGGCTCTAGAATGCAGGAGAGCTAATGTTAAGCAGCTCATATGGATTAAATCTCCCAGTCTCTCGTTAGTTCCTCAGACTTGCACGGCCACAGACTCCGTGATTTCCAGCAAGCATCTGTGGCCTCGTCCATTCACTTCAGTGAAGCAAGAATTATTGCATTAAATTGATGTTATTGGTATGGAATCCCAATTTCACAAATCTGAGGCATTATGCTATAAATTTAATTCATTATGAGAAAAAATAATATACAATCATGCAAGACAGGATAAAGTTGTGCAAAATGAAAAAAAAGTGTAATTTTTCTATACATGTCATCTAATTTTTACTTTAAGTGGTTGTATAATTAAACACCACTTACAATATCAAAATACACACACACATATATATATATATATATAAATAAAAAAAAAATCCAAATACCTATGAAACAGAACAGATATAATATGAGATATATTCAACGTAATCAATAGATAGTTTTTAAAATGCTGATGTGCTGTATATTTATGCAATGCAATAATGAGCAGATGTCTTAGACATTTAAACGGTAATTTCCAATCAAACAATCTCCCCAAGTTTGTCATAGAAAAATAAATACACACACACACACACATTCCCAATAAATGTATTAGGTAATCAGTTGATAACCGAAATTCAACCCACACAACTAAAATAAATTGCAGCCTGAATTTGTACTAAATTGCATTATATTCAGAATTATAAAAAGCAAATCGGTAAACATGGAGTTACCACCAGCAACATTCTACTGGTTTCCACAGTGATTGCTCCATATTTAGTACCTTTTCTTCAGCCTTGCAGTGTATACCTAAAGTCTTTTTATCAACAACCCTTTAGGTGCTGTTGATATAAAAGCCAAGTTATGTTTTCTCGGCCAAAAGATTTTAGACTACAACTCGTTATTCCGCTAGACAGCTGCGGCTATAGTAATGCGGTAATTAGAGGGTCAACATCTGGTCAAATCAAAACTGTAAAAAGATACAGTGTGATTGATAATAAAAACAGGATTGAGATTTCATTGAGTTACTATCACTCTCAAGATTACTTTTTTTCCCTTCCTTGTGCAGGTGTGCAAAGCAAAGGCCAGCTTTAATACAAACCAGCTTGTTTGGCTATGGCTCATATCTATTGGCTATAGCGATATTAGGTAAAGCCTGGGCAGGTAGAACAGGGGTTAATGATGGATAGCCTCAGCTCACTCACATACACACTGTGCTTCCCAGCTCTGTAATCCACAGCCAACCAGCTGCCCTGCCTTTACTATAACTGCTGCTGTAAATGGGCAGGCCTTGTAAGGAGGCGTGTGTCTATGTATGGATCTGGGGCATTCATTAACCCTGTATAGCTGTATAGAGAGCATTGCAGGCATGGTCATTTCAATAAGTTTTGTCCTCACGTTTACTTGCACACACATTCCAGATTTAATTTTCTTTTGCAAACTGATCACACAAATGTAGTAGTTTTTTTTCGGGACAAAAACATTTGTCAGATCCATGACTTTCAATAATGTTACACATATCCTATTGCAAAATACCAGTAACGATAAAAAGTATTGCCCCATGAATTTGCAGAATTAATGTGGTCAACTACATTCAAGTAGTTATATGTAAAAAAAAAAAAAATTTTTTTATATTATATATATATATATATATATATATATATATATATATATATATATATATATATATATATATATATATATATATATATATATATATAAACTAGCTCATAAGATGAATAATCACAAACATGCATAAAAACCCCATACTCTACCACTACCTACTTTAAATGTTCTCCATGGACTGACTACATCTCTCTCCACCTGCTTAGGAGAGCACATGCCACAACACCATAACTACTTTTACAGGAACACTCCACATAAAGCTACACTTTAGCTATATTTCTAGAGCCTGTAACATTTGTGACCATTTATAAAAGTGCTGATTTAAATACAATTCAGCACTATTATAATATGGGGCAAAACACCTTCCTGGCTGTCAAAGAGCATGGGAGGTTATTATCCTCTAGAGGCTTACTTACATTTGCCTTCCCTCTGCCTTACCTTTATTACAGCTCATTGAGATGCATTTGAAAATTGCACTTGTGGCTCTAGCATAGAGTCTCCTCAATGCTGGGTTAGAAGAGGAGGGTTTGAAAAGGTTGCAGACAAGAGATCTGCAGCTTTTGAAAGCGCTTGTTGGATATAAAATGAAAAAATGCTGCAATAAAGTCATGCAGGTTTTCACTGGGAATATTTGTACTAATTTTAAATTTGTTTGGGGCTCTGTAGTTTTCCTTTAAATAGCAGAGCAAAACCGGTCATATTGCGCTACGGAATGTGATGGCGCTATATAAAAAAATAATAATAATAATATTGCACAGTAGTAAGTATGAATGGTTAGCGGAGCATTAACAGTAGAATGCATGCATTCATGACAATGTTGCTATACTGAACAGACTTTGTAGTCAACACATTAATTGTGAAAATCTGATGGCTAGATTTAGACTATTAAAAAAAAACATTTTATAGCTTAAAGAATACAATAAAGGGGGGCGTGGCCAGCTGTCTAACGAGGAGGACGTGTTCCCGTGCAGCTCCGACACAGAGACTTACAATAGAGCCCAGAAACCCGCAAACGGGACCCTCCAAACACCACAACTATAGCCCCCACACAGCTGCTGACATGGGGCGAAAAACTAAGAAATTCCGCCTGCCGGAACCGCCAAAAGCGCCCGACATTCGGCTCTCCTTTACGAGGCCTACTCAAGCGACACCAGCCAAAATGGCGCCCGCCGCACCCAGCGAGGAGGAAGCCTCGGACGAATCCCAGGAGGGCAGAGACAGCCCCATCTCCTCTCAAGCAGAAGATGGAGCCCAGTGTCAGGCATCTGAATCTGAGGAAGACTCATCCCCAGTTACAAAGAGGGACATTAGAGACCTCCTTGAGGAAATGAGGGAGGTGTGGAGGGCAGACTTGCAGACCACAAAGAAGGAGATGGGGGCCATCCAGAAAAGGCTCACCGAAGTTGAAGTCAGAGAAAGGGCCAGAGAAGCCCAGCAACAGATCTCCAGTGACGCTGTGCAGGATCTACGCTCACAGATCCATCAGCTCAAGAGGACGGTCACAACGCTGGAGGCCCGTCACAGAAAGCGAAACATTCGCATCAGAGGCATACCAGAGACCATTGGGGACGAAGCCCTGTTGAAGTACATATCCCGCCTTACCACCAGAATGGAATTAAGGCCGCACACCGAACCAGACAAAATAGTAACCGCATTTAGAATACGCAAAGCCGCTGCAGCGCCAGCAGAATCCCCAAGGGACGTCATAGCGGTCACGAAAGATATACAGACCCGCTCAGCGATCATGGCTCGCTCCCGAGAACTGGGAAGCGTTCAATTCGAAGGCAGCACAGTGTCCCTTTATGGAGACCTCCCGTTCGCAGCCCTAGCGGAGCGGAGACAACTAGCACCAGTGGCTAAACAATTGAGAGCGGAGGCAGTCAAATATCGATGGGGGGCAGATGGATCCCTAACAGCAATAAAGGGAGATCGGACATTCACACTCACCTCCGCGGATGACCAGGCACAATTTCTCCGCCAGCTGAGAAGACAAGAGGCGGAAAACAAAGAACCCAGAGAAGCAGACACCTGGAAACAAAAAGACGCACAGAGCAAACCAGGGCCCACAAAGAGTCACCACACTGCAACGCTACCGAGGAGACAATTACTTACCTAAGCGGCTTACCACAGCACTCACTTAGCACACCATCAACTCCCAGGTGATAGAGTATATACGCGGCACCATACTGTCTAGAAAACCCATAAACCAAGTTATACGCCCCAGAAATCCAATCTAATTCCAGATGTTATACCATTCTAGTTAAAACTAGAGACACTCCTCTCCCAGATGTTTAGCTCACAGAGAGCGCAAGGTTGGAGACCCCACAAACACCCTTGAAAACGGGACTGTTTGCATAAATACGAGCTTGAGAAGTGGCATTAAAAAAAAAAAAAAAAAAGGGTCACAAGGAACCTGAGGTTGCAGAGTAACCAACCATAGGCGCTTTCATAATGACATTATGGACTGTTACAGAAACTTTGTTTTGCAGTTCTTTACATTTCCCATACTATGACACTGTTGTATTATGAGTACTAAACCTCTAATAAAATACAAATTAAAAAAAAAAAAAAAAGAATACAATAAAAATAATAATTTTTCCAGCTCACCTCCCGCAACATGATAGAGGAGGTATGGCCTAGTCCGCGACAGTCCAATCCTTCTCACAGAGGAGCATTGGGGACCTGATTGCATGCGCAGCATATGCTTAGCATGCATTCAAGCACCTTCATAATAAAGCACTGTATCCAAGTGGCTGTCAGTATAAGCCACTAGATGTGCATTTAAAAAAAACAAAACAAAAAAAAGCCTGCAACATTTCACATTGCAGGGTTAATATAAAAAGAACCATTGCACCCAGACCACTCCATTAAAATAAAGTGGTCTAGGGGACTATAGTGTTTTTAAGGCAGTCTACAAAATATATACTTTAAAGTGATATTTTTCATGAGTGGCCACTTCAGTGATACAATGCATACATCCATTATTTAAACCCTTTAAAAGGTATACTATAGGTCTGGGTTCGACAAATCCCAGGCGCCAGGTCGATATGGCGACTAGGAGTTTTGTCCTGGAGCCTGGGATTGGTCAGCCCGTTCATCTGAGGCGGCCGGCATTATAGCAGCAAAGTAATGGTTCATATATGCAACCATCAATTAAACTGTGCATGTACTGCTCAATTTAAATGGCCGAGGGAAAATGGCGCCAGGCAGTGACGGAGGGAGTTGTCATCTGCATGCTCTTCTTGCTCTGGTATCTCGCGCGCCCTGCTGTGATGCCGGGATATGACTTCACTCTGGCCCCGGCATCACTAAACCGCGTGCGAGGGAGAAGAGCAAGAAGTGCTTGTAGATGATCAGCGCAGGGGAAAATTGTAAATGTATGAGAGAATATGTGCGTCTGTCAATGTGTGTGTCTGTCTCTCTCAGTATGTGTCAAATCAGTTTGTGCCTGTTTCAGTGATCTGCTCCCCCTCCAATTGCATGGAAAAATACTTTTACTCACTTTTTTCCCAGCCTATGCCAGTCTCGCTGCGGCTGTCTGCGCCTCCATGACTGATATCATAAATCTTGATGATCTCAGCCAAACACATTGTGCAGCACTGGACTAAGAGTCACCTCTAGGAGCCATCTGAGTGACTGTCACTAGGTGTGTTACTAGGCATCAATTTACATTGAAAAGCCTGTAGGGACAGGTTATAGACACCAGAACCATTACATTAATTTGTAGTGGTTCTGGTGCCTATAATGTCCCTTTAAGAATTGTATCCCTCGCTCCTAAGTTTTTAGCTTGCTCCTAGATGCCAAGCAAATTTGCCAAACCCTGCTAAGACACCTTTGTCTCAATTAAGTGGTCTGGGTGCCATGTCTGCCTTAACCCTGCAGTGTAAAACATTGCATTCCTGCAGAACATGAATGTTTACATTGCAGGGTTTAAAATGCTCTATTCGCTGTTGCTCTGACAGCCACTAGAGGTACTCGAGGTGAAACAGCAGAGTAAAACCGATTGTCCCAGTGCTTTCCGGTGGGATTGGCTGAGACAATCAAGATTGATGATCTCAGTCAAGGAGGAGTAGCCAGCACGGAGAAGCAGTGAGTTGTTAGAGAAAAAGGTTAGTAAACTTTCTTTTTACTCCTGGAGCAGGTGTTTTTTCGAATGATGAATAGGACACTATAGCGTTAGGAATACACATTTTTACAAAAATAATAAAAAAAAAAGTCAATCTTAAAACCCAAACATAAAGCTACACTTTTTACCAAATAATTTGTTCATTTACAATATTCCAATATTTATCATTTTAAATTCAAGGTTCCAGTAGCTGCATAATTTGCAAGGAGATTTTAGAAGTATCACTCACGAGATAGCTGTTCTATTTCACAAGTTTATGTGAAATTGTGTGAAAATTGCGTACATAGATGACTGTTTTTAAAAGTTACAAGAACACTAATAAAAACACATGTATTGGGCCAAGTGCTAAAGCTGCAAAATTTGCAGACTGTGACCCACTTGTCCAAAATGCACTGCCTGTCCATGCCTACGTTACACTAAATTTAGAGCTTTGGGAAGGCTAGAATTGTGATGTAAATTTAAGATATTTAAGAAGGTGTCTCCATTGTGACCAAAAGAGCAGGGGAAAAAAACTGAAAATAGTTGCAAGTGAACATCTGTAAGTTTTTCCAGAAAAGTGTGTAATTAATTTAATTATTTAATGAAAGGGTTTAAGGTTACAAACTCCTTCAGATATCATCTCTGTCCTGTCTCATCTTAAAAGGGCGCTCTCATGGAACACATTTTACAATTAATTTGTGTACTACTGCCTTAATATGTAAACTATATATATATATATATATATATAGATATAGATATATATATATATATATATATATATAAAAGAGAGAGAGACAGAGAGAGTTTGTAAAGAAGCTCTGCACTATCTGTCTTCTTCCCATATAAAAATGATTTATTGCTTCAAATTAGCATAAAATAAACAAATTGCATAAAATGTCATTGTTTCAGTTCCAGTGTGGGACTTTCCTCATGTAATGTAAAAAGCTACTTGTTCATACACACACTGATTAGTCACAACATTAAAACCCCCTAATATCGTGCAGGTTCCTATGTGCTGCCAAAACTGCTCTGATGCGTCGAAGCATGTCCTGTAGTATCTGGCACGAAGACATTAGTAGCAGATCCTTTAAGTTCTGCAAGTTGCAAAAGGTGTCTTCATGGATCGGATTGGTTGTTCCAACACATCCCACAGATGCTCAATTGGATTGAGATCTGGGGAATTTGGAGACCAAGGCAGCCTCTGGAACTCTCTGTTTCTAAACCATTCCTGAATTTTTTTTTAATTTTTTTTTTTTAAGTGTGACAGGATGCATTATCCTGCTGAATAGGCTACTGCCATCAGGGAACACCATTGCCATGAAGAGGTGAGCATAGTCTGCAACAATCTCTAGTTAGGTAGTGTATGAAAGTAACATCCGCATGAATGCCAGGACCCTAAGTTTCCCAGCAGAACATTCCCCAGAGCATAACACTGCCTCTACCGGCCTACCTTCTTTCCATAGTGCATCCTGCTACCATGTCTTCCCCAGGTAAGTGAAGCACTAGGCCTTCCACTTGATCTAAAAAAAACATGATTCAACAGACCAGGCAACCTTCTTTCATTGCTCCACGATCCAGTTGTGATGCTCACGTCCCCATTGAATGTGCTTTCAGCAGTGGACAGAGGTAATCAAGGGCACTATGACTGGTCTGGAGCTACTCGGCCCCATACACAGCAAACTGTGATGCACTACGTGTTCTGACGCCTTTCTATCCTGGTCAACATTAGGTTTTTCAGCAAGTTAAGCTACAGTAGCTCTTCTGTGTGATTGGACCATGCATGCTAGCTTTCAGCTAGTCTTGGGTGCCGGTGACCCTGTTGCTAGTTCATAATCTGCCCTTCCGTTCATAATCTGCCTTTCCGTAAACCACTTTTGGTAGTTACTAAACACTGCATGCTGGAAGACTTGCCATTTTGGAGATGCTCTGACCCAGTTGTCTAGCTATCACTATTTGGCCCTTGTCAAAGTCACTCAGATCTTTTCGTTTGTCCATTTCTCCTGCTTCCAACACATGAAACTCAACAACTCACTGTTCTAATATATCCCACCACTTGACAGGTGCCATTGTGACAATATAATCAATGTTATTCACTTCACCTGTCAGCAGTTTTAATGTTGTGGCTGTTCAATGTAAATGTATTATAATTACTTCCAAGAGGTGTTTTGTAAAATATCCATGACTGGTGCACCAGAGAGATAATGGGATATAGCAGGGACAAACAGGACGGGCGACAGTGCCCTTTAATTTGGAAACTATGGCAGCACAGGGAACAGAATGTGTGCATCTAGCTTGTTTATTAAAGAGACACTGTAGGCACCCAGACCACTTCAGCTAATTGAAGTAGTCTCGGTGCTGTCTCTTTATTGCACTTAGCACTGCAATGTTTACATTGCAGCTCTAAGTCTGCCCTGAGTGGCTGTCTACCAGACAGCTACTGGGGGCGCTTTCGGAATCCATACGGACATTTGGTCTGTTATCCGATGCTGGACGTCCTCACGCTCTGCATGAGGACCTCCAGCGTCAGATTTTCCCCATAGGAAAGCGTTGAATAACGCTTTCCGATGAGAATGTCTAATGCGCATTAGGTCTGCCCCACCGGCTGGCGGGGGCGGAGCCTGATCCAGGTAAGTGGGTTTTAACCCCTTCAGCCCCGCAGGAGGGGGGCACTGTAGGGACCTATAGTGCCAGGAAAACATGTTTGTTTTCATGTCACTATAGGATCCCTTTAAGCAGAAGTCAATGGGACATCTTAATATCTTAATCCATGTGAGAGCGCTTACCACTTAACCACTTAAGCAAGCATGCGCTCTTACTAAAAAGTAACTTCAGTAACAATTCTACATTCTAAGCAAATTTGTCTAGTCCTGTTCTAAAAGATACAAAAAGAGAAAAGATCTGCACCAAAAACCTGCAAGTTTCACAAATTTAAAGCCTAAAATAGAGGTGGAAAAATTTTTTTTAAAACCAACTTAGCCACTGTGCCAGGCCCATTATTTTGGTCTAAAGTGTAAAACATTGTGGTCACTTCCTGGGTTAGTGAATAATTCTGCTTATGCTTTCTTAGGCACAATCAACTTCACCATGGTGTCTGGCAGCATATGAGAAGCATTGGATTGTGGGAGAGTGATTGGCACACATGTGCCAAATGTCCCCAATGCTGCTGTATGAGAAACATTGGGTTGGACAAAAGTCATCGGAGCTGATGTCTTATTTGGATGAGGAGCTACGGCGTAGAGACTGTCCTGGAACAGGATTACAGGTAGGTTTTATCACTTTTTGATTAAAAATAAATAAATAAAATTTATTACAAGACTGGCCTCAGTAATATAAACTAAAAAAGGAAAAACACTAACATTAACAATAAATACCTTTTTAATTTGAAAGTTTTTAAGAATTTAAAAGGTCTGGTTAGCTAATACTGTTCTGTGCCTGCACAGCTTTTAAAGGGAGTTCCTTTAGTTGTTTTTCCTGCACATTATTATTATTATTATCTTTGGCATTTATAAAGCGCCAATTTATTCAGTAGAGCTTTACAATATTATAAAAAGGCGGAAATTTAATACAGTCTAGAGGTGGGGTAATAACACTTGCTTTTACTGCTTTGTGAACTTTTCTTAAATTGTGGATCTATGTGGAGTTTACTGTAGGTTATATGCCATAAACTATATTTTGCTAAATTGTAATTTTATCCACAAGATATAAGACAAACGTGAAAACGCAAAAATTGTTTATTAGAACAACAGTAGTGCTTATTCATCAAACTGAATTGTGGTGAATTGAAAACCAAATTGCAAAGTTCACGCTAAAAATAATTATCACTAATAGACCAACATATTTAAACTCAGTCAAGTTTAAGATTTCTTGCTATTGTCCATTAGTTCTAGATTCTACTTTTTATTATTTTGGGGGGTGGTTAACGTTCTTTAGGTCCACAAGGTGTTACTTATTTGGCAAGTTGAGGTTGACAGACCATTATTTGAAATGGCCAAGTCTAATATACAGACTGTTTGATTCACCAAACAGGGAACTGCCAAGAGCGTTGCAATAATACAAGTAAAGTTGGATTAAGAATGTTTCCAATTCAGTTATTCAGAAATGTCAATTTACAAATAAGTGAATATCCTCTCCTTCCCCCTCCCCCCCTCTGCAAGTGCAATTAAACCATTATTAATTGTTAGTTCTAGATAAGAGTGTGTACCATGTGTTGTGATTATGAAGTGGGAAAGGAATATTTCAATACAGATCTCACTTTGGAAGTTAATGGTATTTGAAATAAAATGTGAAATTTGGGCACTTGTTGAATGAAAGAACTCTCTTAGCTAATAACTGAGAACTAGTGCTCAATGGGGGTATTTTTGAATATGCCAAGATTATTTGAGTAGTTAGTTACTACATACGGACAATTCGTGATGGAAGGGAGTCATACTGTAAAGCATTACATAGTTAAAGCAAAATTAAAAACAAAGTAAGATATATGGACAAGTAGCAGAGCGCCTGCACCAATTAGGGGCATTTCAATATGACATATAGTGTTTGATCGTATTCCATAAATCTCTTTCAAGCAGAAGTTTATTGAATACGTTGTGTGACTACTTTGTCTCACGGGTTTGCTGATCTTTGGCAAAATGTGTCAAGGGGCAAAAATTTAGCCACCACATTCTGACATTTCTCATCAACAACCACAGCTGATGGAAGCAGGCACACTATTACAAAATATATACCCCACCTCCTATAGACTGTAAGCTCATTTGAGCAGGGTTCTCTTCAACCTATCGTTCCTTTAAGTTTTCTTGTAATTGTCCTATTTATAGTCAAATCCACCGTTTCATAATATTGTAAAGTGCTACGAAATCTGTTGGCGCTATATAAATGGCAATAATAATAAAAAAATCATATATATTATTATTAATAAAGCGCTAACAAATTCAGCAGCGCTGTACAACAGATGGACTTAGAGACAAGTATTTGTAACAAACCAAGTTGGACACACAGGAACAGGGCCCTGCTCAAACTAGCGTGCATTCTAGATAGATGATAGAGATTATATATATATATATATATATATATATATATATATATATATATATATTATTTTTTTTCAATTCCACTTGCCTTTTTATATTTACAGCCTGGTGCTCAGTAAGAGCATATCCATGTATACAAAAAAGTAAGAATTTTTCCAACACTCTCATTCTTAAAAATGTTTTTCCTTTATTTTGCCAGAACAATCAGTCAATGTTTTAGTTCCTAATTGTGAACTTTTTAACTGTCTGAAAAAGAAGGTTCAGAGTTACGAAATGAAATGTTTACCTGATCGTTCTGGCAAAATAAAGGATACAAATTTTGAAAGGAACACTTAAGGGTCCAGAATACAAATGTGTATTCCTGAGCCTAAAGTGAGAAAATCCTATTTTAGACTCCCAGGCCCTCATTGACCATTAAAAAGAATGAAAACTTACCTTTATTCCAGCGTCGTGTGGGTCTGCTGGCACTGGCCCGCCACGCTCTGCCTCCTTGGCAGAGTTCATCAGAACAGATGATCTCAGCCAAGAGGCTATCGCGCAAGCGTGGCAAAGCGCCATGCAGCATTAATCAGCATCTCCTTAATAAAGATGCATTGAATCAATGCATCTCTATGGGGAATGTTCAGTGCCTCCATGCAGAGCGTTGTGCAGCACTGATCCAGGAAGCACCTCTAGTGGCTGTCTGAGTGACTGCCACTGGAGGTGCCCCTAGGCTGTAATGTAAACATTGACTTTTCTCTGAAGAGGCAGTGTTTACGGCAAAAAGCCCGCAGGGACTGACTATAACTACATTAAGTTGTAATTGTTCAGTTGACAATAGTGTCCTTTTAAGAAGACCAAAAATTCTCTTACTTTTCTTTTATTGACTAAATTCTGAACTGAAGATTAAATTGAAACATTTAGTCTAAAAAATACATTTTTCGATACATAAATAGCTTGTATTTGTGTAATATATATATATATATATATATATATATATATATTTCATGTTTTGTCCTGATGAAAGCTCCATGTGGGAGCTGAAACTTTGACTTTTTAAATGGATTGTATAAAAGTTACATTTTATTTGAAAATCTCTACAAAATCCTTGGAGTGCGGTCATTTCTGATATATATATATATATATATATATATATATATATATATATATATATATATATATATAAAAAACACAAGAGAACAAGAGTCACAAATCAAGAACTAATATTGCATTTACACCAGCATTTCTCTCCTTCCTACTTAAGTTATCAATGATTAAAAAGCTTGTCCATGGGTACATTTTGCACGCATGACTAAATGAGTAGCAGATTGAACAAGCTTAATTGATGCTCAGTAGAAGAAAATGAGATTATATCATGCACACGTGATAACATCTTTTTAGGGTCCCATGTTCACTTTCACAGCCCCCAATTTATTTTGTACTCTCACATCTGCAAATCTTCCCTCAAGAACTCTTGGAGGGGAGGTTTGAAGAAGACAAACACTGAATAAGAGAAATTTCATGTATGCTTAATAGTAAAACACTTGAAAGATTGTTGGTGAATAAAAAGCTAATATTTCTTTATAGAACCCTTCAAAGCATTGTGGTGAACACACTGGAAGATAGGTCTATTCTAGTTAGTATTGTACTAGTTATGATTGAGAAAAAAGTAAAAAGAAAAGTGTTAAAGGGACACTAGAGTCAGCAAAACAACTTTAACTTAAAAGGATCTTATAGTCACCAGCACAACTACAGCTTAATGTAGTTATAATGGTGTCAACAGACTGTCCCTGCAGGCTTGTTAATGTTAACATTGGCTTTTCAGAGAAAAGGCAGTGTTTATATTACTGCCTAGGAACACCTTGATGTGCAGTCACTCAGACAGCCACTAGATGTTATTCAATGCATCTATTGTTACAATCTCAGCCAATCCAATGCTTTCGCACAAGAAAGCATTACATTGGCTGAGATTGTAAAAATTGATGATCTAAGCCAAGAAGGTGGAGCAAGCCGCAACGAGATAGGCACGGCGCTGGTAAAAGGTAGTTTTTTTTTGGTCAAGGGGGGCCAATGGTCTAAAATGTGTTTTTACAATTATAGTGTCAGGAGGAATTGTTTGTATTCCTGACACTATAGTGTTCCTTTAATGAAGCAGTTTTGTTGTATACATCATCCTCCTGTGTGTGATTAAAGCTCAACTTACAGAGCACAAGACACAAAAACAACCAAACAAACAAAAAAAAACCTTATAGAAGCACGTTAAAGGGACACTATAGTCACCTGAACAACTTTAGCTTAATGAAGCAGTTTTGGTGTCTAGAACATGACCCTGCAGCCTCACTGCTCAATCCTCTGCCATTTAGGAGTTAAATCCCTTTGTTTATGAACCCTAGTCACACCTCCCTGCATGTAACTTGCACAGCCTTCCATAAACACTTCCTGTAAAGAGAGCCCTATTTAGGCTTTCTTTATTGCAAGTTCTGTTTAATGAAGATTTTCTTATCCCCTGCTATTAATAGCTTGCTACACCCTGCAAGAGCCTCCTGTATGTGATTAAAGTTCAATTTAGAGATTGAGATACAATTATTTAAGGTAAATTACATCTGTTTGAAAGTGAAACCAGTTTTTTTTTTCCATGCAGGCTCTGTCAATCATAGCCAGGGGAGGTGTGGCTAGGGCTGCATAAACAGAAACAAAGTGATTTAACTCCTAAATAATAGTGAATTGAGCAGTGAAATTGCAGGGGAATGCTCTATACGCTAAAACTGCTTTATTTAGCTAAAGTAATTCAGGTGACTATACTGTTCCTTTAACATCTGAAAATGACACCATTTTGTTTTCATGCAGGCTGTGTGAGTGACACAGCCAGGGGAGGTGTGGCTAGGGCTGCATAAACAGAAACAAAATTGATTAAACTCCTAAATGGCAGATAATTGAACAGTGAGACTGCAGAGGCATGAACTATACACCAAAAAGTCTATATTAAGCCATATGTTGCTTTGGTGCCTATAGTGTCCTATATATATATATATATATATATATATATATATATATATTTATTTTTTCGGTAATGTATTATTCTAGTTGGATCTAATTTTTCTTTTAATATAAGTAGTAGTATTTTAGTCAGTTTTGGGTTTGCTAGCTGAAGAAAAGGTTAATATTATGGTGACATTTCTGTCAAACCCTTAAATATATGGCTGCTAGTTGTATTTAAATTTTGAAGCAAACTGTTCTATTTTAATATTAAAATATAAAGTGTTACAATTATGGGCACTAAGCTGTGTAAAAAGTTCTCACTATGAACAATGTGCTGAGATAAGCATGTGTATACTGACCTGGGCCCTGAGTGAGGAAGTTGTTGTGTACATTCTATGCTTTGAATCCTTGCATGTCTGAGGGTTCCAATGCTACGTCACCACGCCCACTTCAAGTGTTACACCACGCCCCCTTTCCACTCTCCATCCCCAGCTCGCAACGCCGAGCGGTGCAGTTACGCGGAGCCGGCCGCTAGGGGCAGTGTTGTAGCAGTTGAGCTCGGTGTGCTGGCCGCGCATGCGCTGTAGCCCCCTCTCCTCGTTGTGATCCTGCCTGTGGCAGTCCGGTCAGCCCCGGCGACATGAGGCGGCTCCAGCGCACGTAATGCGGGCGGCTCGCAGCGGCCGGCGCCCGGAGCCGAGCCCCCCGTCCAGGAGTGTAGAGCTGTAATCGGTGTCTGTCTTTCTGATCGGGCCCCTGTAGATGGTCTCCGGAGATTCGGCGGCGGCAGAGCAGGAGGAGGACGGGCTCCCGACTAGTATGAAGGAGATGATCGGAGGCTGCTGTGTCTGCTCGGACGAGAGGGGCTGGGCCGAAAACCCACTGGTGTACTGCGACGGGCATGGCTGCAATGTGGCGGTGCATCAAGGTAACCCGGGGGGGGAGGGGAGCCGGGGGCGGGGCTAGCGGGGGGGGGGGCTGTCATGGGAGGTCAGGAGTACACTGACACAAAGGCCTTACTCAATGAGTGTGAGTGCTGCTAACCTGGGACTGAGTGTGTGAGTGCTGCTAACCTGGGACTGTGTGTGAGTGCTGCTAACCTGGGACTGTGTGTGAGTGCTGCTAACCTGGGACTGTGTGTGTGAGTGCTGCTAGCCTGAGACTGAGTGTGAGTGCTGCTAGCCTGAGACTGAGTGCTGCTAGCCTGAGACTGAGTGCTGCTAGCCTGGGACTGTGTGTGAGTGCTGCTAACCTGGGACTGTGTGTGAGTGCTGCTAACCAGGGACTGTGTGTGTGAGTGCTGCTAGCCTGAGACTGAGTGTGAGTGCTGCTAGCCTGAGACTGAGTGCTGCTAGCCTGAGACTGAGTGCTGCTAGCCTGAGACTGAGTGCTGCTAGCCTGAGACTGAGTGCTGCTAGCCTGAGACTGAGTGCTGCTAGCCTGAGACTGAGTGTGAGTGCTGCTAACCAGGGACTGTGTGTGTGAGTGCTGCCAACCTGGGACTGAGTGTGTGAGTGCTGCTAACCTGGGACTGAGTGTGAGTGCTGCTAACCTGGGACTGAGTGTGAGTGCTGCTAACCTGGGACTGAGTGTGAGTGCTGCTAACCTGGGACTGAGTGTGAGTGCTGCTAACCTGGGACTGAGTGTGAGTGCTGCTAACCTGGGACTGAGTGTGTGAGTGCTGCCAACCTGGGACTGTGTGTGTGAGTGCTGCCAACCTGGGACTGTGTGTGTGAGTGCTGCCAACCTGGGACTGTGTGTGTGAGTGCTGCCAACCTGGGACTGTGTGTGTGAGTGCTGCTAACCTGGGACTGTGTGTGTGAGTGCTGCTAACCAGGGACTGTGTGTGTGAGTGCTGCCAACCTGGGACTGTGTGTGTGAGTGCTGCCAACCTGGGACTGTGTGTGTGAGTGCTGCTAACCAGGGACTGTGTGTGTGAGTGCTGCTAACCAGGGACTGTGTGTGTGAGTGCTGCTAACCAGGGACTGAGTGTGTGAGTGCTGCTAACCAGGGACTGAGTGTGTGAGTGCTGCCAACCTGGGACTGTGTGTGAGAGAGTGTGTGTGTTTTATTTCTTTCTGGTATCCTGGGACTGTGTGTGGGAAGGGTGAATGCTGGGACTGTGTGTGAGCATTGATTGCCGATATCCTGGAACTGTGTGTGTGTGGGGGGGAATCAGTGCTGGTGGTGTGTATGTTTTTGGAAGTTAGAGCTCGTATCCCGGTGCTCTGTGTGTGTGCGGGATTCTAATATTTTGGTACTTAAGTGTTTAGAGGGCGTGCATGCATCCTGATGGTTGTGTGGGCAAGTGTTCTGGTATCCTGGTAAGATGTATGAGTGGAGGGTACGTGCTGGTATTCTAGTATTTGTCTGATTGGGGAGAGTGCTATCTTGTAGTAACATTGGGGCGGGGAGGAGGGGGAGACGGGGGGGTTCGGGTATATTTTTGTATTACCATGGGGGAATCCTGGTACTGTTTTGCAAGTTCTTGCATCCAACCATTTTGAAGATGCTTTTTGCAGAACTATTATGTGTATAAAAGCCATTCCACAACCAAAATGTTACTTTAATAAGAAAGTTTGCCTTTATTTTTAATTAGAGTTGGTAAAATATATTACATCATGGTATCTGGTTATTGTTGAGGAAACACTAGAATCCTGGTACTTTTATGAGGAGTGCTGGCATTCTGTGGGTCAGTCATCTTCCTACAGGGAAGCACTTTTTGTCTTGTGTGAGTACTGATAACTTAGTACTACAGTAGAGTACTGGCATGTTGGTGCTGTGGAGAAGTCTTAACATCCTGTACTCGAGTGCTGCCCACCCACTGGGATCTAGGTTGCTGGGTTGCTTTTGTGTTCTGGTTTAATACTTGCATGGACTTGGCCCAAGTGCGAAACCATGTTGTGTGTGTGTGTGTGTGCAGGTACTGGTCGTCAGTTTGAAACCCATATATTTTGGTACTAGTGGAGAGTTCTTCTTTATGTTTTTTTTTCGTTCTGTGTTCGTGGTGTGATGAAGAATTTGTAATACAGTACTGTCAGTGCTTGTCATGTGGAAGAGAGTTGTCTTGGCGATGTAAGAGAGTGTTGCTCTCTTGGTAATTTATGACTGTGTCCGCATCCTGCTTTAGTCGCCTGACACTATGGGTAAGCTTTGGTATGTTGGTAATTTGGACTGCCAGCATACTGCTTTTACATGTGACTTGGCTGAAGCAGGAGCAGGCTGTCAACTTTCTCCTGCTTGTTGTAAGCTGGCCTCTTAAGGGCTTCACATAGAGCTCCTGCACAGTGTAGAAGGCTATTAACATAGCAAGTGATACAAAATTCTTAAACAGAATGTGCAATAAAGTTTAAACATTAAAGCTCTCTTTATAGGAAGTGTCTAGGAAGGCTGTGTGCGTCACATGCCTTGGGGTATGACTAGGACTGCATAAAAAGAAAAAGTGATTTAACTCCTAATGACAGGGAAAACGCAAGGGCATGATATACACACACAAACTGCTTCAGTAAGCTAAAGTTGTTTTGGTGCCTATAGTTTCCCTTTAACTGGCATGTTGGTGCCATTTTTTTGTTTTCATCTTTGGGGAAGTGACAAATTGATACCTGTGTTGATACTCCTGGGCATATTGCTTCTCTGTGATAAAGGTAAAGGAATTTTTAGTTCTGTCTGCTTAGTAAGGACTTTGTAAGGGAAACCATGAAGATGCTTAAGGTGCTGTCTATTATTTAGTGTAATCACAAATTATAAATGTTTTGCCTTAAAGTATTCCTTTACCAAAACAAGTGTTTTCTTTATATACTGTTTCTTGTTTTAGTCAGTCCCCTCAGGTCAAAGTTTAAAAAATCTGCATGTGCTGGTGACAATTTTGCTCAGAATTCACATAAGCCAACCCGGAACTCTTGTTGAAGGCTGGCTAATGACTCTGGAGTGACGCTGCTGTAGGTGAAATTACACCTTTGGCAGTCAGAGGGGTTAAATCTGTTTGTGAAATATTTCTTTACAAAACGCTTTACATGCAGACTCCAGGCACCACGACCACTTCAAATCACTAGAGTCGTCATGGTGCTTGGAGCAACCCTTTAACCCCTTAAGGATACATGACATTTGTGACATGTCATAATTCCCTTTTATTCCAGAAGTTTGGTCCTTACGGGGTTAAATACAAAAAAATCAACATAAATTTAGCCATTAGCCGAGGGCCTGAAGCCTTGGTGGAAAATCAAATCCTGATAACAAGTGACAAATTTAATTAGCCATATGCTCATTTAATTCAGTATATGCAAACATTCCTGGGGTTTTATTCACTAAATTCTGAATTGAAGACTAAATTGAAAAATCTAGCCTAAAAAATACATGTAACTATTTTGTGTTGCCCCCTCCCCCCAAAAAAATTTATTTTAAAATTTTGTGTGTGTGTATGTATGTATGTATGTATGTATGTATGTATGTATGTATGTCCAACATAATTAAATATCCGATTGATGTTTCGACCTCTTCAGGTCTTCCTCAAGATCTTGAGGAAGACCTGAAGAGGTCGAAACGTTGATCGGATATTTAATTATGTTGGACATTAAATACCAACAATTATCTTCAAAAGACCACAGAGTGCATCTCTTCTTTAAAATATGTGTGTGTGTGTATGTATGTATGTATGTGTGTGTGTGTGTGTGTGTGTGTGTGTGTGTGTATGTATGTATATGTATATATATATATATATATATATATATATATATATATATATAATAATATAATAATTAGTATGTGTGTTTGTGAGAGATTTCGCTCCAAAAAGACTGGGACAGCTATTAATAAATAAATATATATATATATATATATATATATATATATATATTGCCTTGATGGAGAGCACTCACAGGACTCGAATACTGTGAGTGCTCTCCATCAAGGCAATATATACGAAGGCCGGAGACTGCACCGAGGCATTAACGAGACCGGGAGCTGTGAGTGTGGGACACATTACAGATTTTCTGAAACTGCAATGTTTCAGCTTGCAGGGTTATGAGAACAGGAACAGTGCACGCAGACCACTTCAATGTGATGGCTTCTCAAGATAAATAATTTGGAAGATTTTCTAACCTTTTAGAATCATTTGGAAAGCTTATTAAATCGAGGCCTTTGTAAGGGTCTTGCTGTTTCTCCCTCCCATGATAACCTGTGACTTAGTTTGTGTGGCATATAAGAGGAACAAGGCCTGCCCCCTTCTTTCATACATTTTGACATTTCATGTAAACGCACACTCCACTGCCATCCTATGCATCCACACGTCTATTTTGGCGATCACACTCCCCTTGTTTCATATAGTTTTTCCTACCACCAGACAGTTCATTTCTCACTTCTTTGACATCTGTCTCATTGTTCACTTTACTTCTGTTTTAACACGCCACTTATGGTACTATTTAATCAACTCTCCCCTGTATTTCTTACCTCTCTCTGTTTTGGACCCTTATTCATACGATCT